AAGTAAGCTTCAACTTTCGATTATGTCAAAAAGAGTTTCCAATTCAGGAGCTGCCAAAGGATCTACAAAGCGAAAGCATGTTTCGATGTCCATTAAACAAAAAGTGGAACTGCTACAAAAAATGGATAAGGGCATGAAGAAAGTGACAGAGAGCTGATTGGCTTCTCTAACCATTCCGAAATCTGTCGCAATGAACTGGAAGTTGATCTGTCAGCACTATCCTCATCTTCAGGACAGATGTTTTTATTTTATTCAGCTTATAATTCCTCACTAAATGTAGTGTTTCATCTCGATGTACTCCGATATAATTTAAATCAATTTCCTTGTCATTATAAATATCACGAATACACATCAAATAGTTTTCTGGTTGCAATTTTCTAATTTCGACTATGCGCAATGTATGCTTTACGCATGCGCACGTTGAAAGAAATGTTTAATAAAGTAAACAAATAAATATTAAGTTTTTTTTTTTTTTTTTTTTTTTTTTTTTGTAAATTTTGATACCCTTTAGACCATAATTGCTTTTTATTTGATAAATTACAGTTTCATATTTTTAATTTTATATTTTCTGCATGCCATCTTACCAGATTTAAACTGATCATCTATAATCCAGAATCGCTGAAGTCCCGATGAGTCCGAATTAAAGACTTTTGACTGTATATAAGGTTGTAATGTAACTCCTTTTATCTATTAATTAAGTGTTGAGGAACCTCGTAAACTTAAGTCCAAGAACAGAAACTCAAGAAGGCTTAATTACCCTTTATTGCTCAAAATCAAGATTCAGAGATGGTCTCTTTTATCGTGACATACAACAAAGCCTCCACTTGGGCTTGAAATGATAAATGTAAGAAATAACTAACTAATGACTAACTAAAGAGATTTAGCTGAAGCTAACATAATTTCCCATAATATTAATCTAGCTAGTGAAGCTATCAAAAGGTATGTAATACGGCCGAGCGTAGTAACAATTAGAGAGACATAGCCAAAAGGCAAGCACGTGCTTTTCAGAAATCCTAATTCTCTCTCTCGGAGTCAGTGAAACTTTGACTTAAATACTACTCTGCTTCTCATTTGCATTAACGCGATTCTAAAAACTCATTCTGGTAAAAAATTGTAAGCTGAAACTAGAAGAGACAGGAAGGTTGTATAAACTGTTTTAAAATTAGAATATACCTTTATTTTTCTTTCTCCTTTTTACATGCTTTTGTGATGTAACAATACCACATTCGACACATATTCGGGAGGTCCTGATTTTAATCTCGGCAAGGGCATTGCTCATTTTTCATGTCTCCTCCTTTAAAATAAACTAGTGACTCTATGCCATGTTAGTGGATGATATACGAGTATAATACAGTTTTCTGAGGAAAGCTGAATGAAAAACAGAATCGAATGCAAATTGAAAAAATATAGAGAAATGAATAAATATATATTTAGTTTACAGAAACATACATACATGCAGAAACACACACACACAAAATACACAGCACCTACAGCACAATATATAAGAATGTATATATTTATACAATGTATTGCAAGTATATATAAAAAAGGCAGAGTAATTGTAATACACAATTGAATCTATATGGGATTGCAATAGAACAGTTCCACAGTGATAGTGAAACATACAGCATATGTGTGTTAAAAGAGAGACATGTTAATATGTAATGTGGGCGATAATTAATTACACCTAACAGCGTAGATAGTATAGGGAGATAAGAAGTACACAGAAATTCACAACACAAGACTACACATTGATACATAATGAGAGGAGAGTAGAATACATATATTTTTAATGACTAGTGTGACTTCTGAATGTTTGATGATGGTAATGTAAATGTATAATTACAGTACATTAATGTATTAATGTACCTATAATACAAACTCAGATATTTATATTAATGTATAATTACAAACTCGGATATTTATATTAATGTATAATTACAAACTCAGAAAATGAAAGCACTGCGAGATTTTCTACTATTATGCTATATATTTATAACTCTGAAACAAATGCAAATTAAAATATAAGCAACATACGCTCACATGCACGAAGATTTAGCATCACAAATTAGCTCAAATAGAAGCTCATTGGTCCATTTTTGAAACCCCTCCCTTAGTGGTTACGCTGATGTGCACTTGTGAAATGTGCCGCCCATAACTCTTTTTCACCAAGTGCCATTTTTGGCCTGGCCATTAATGGCACCAGTTTACGCAGCTAAAGCTCAAGAATTTTTCCACTTTTATTAATAAAGTGGACTTTATTTTTTCAATATGACATACCCCGTAGGGTAATCAAGGTTGGAGTAAAAGTCGTTAGACCGAAAACTCATCATATCATTCCAATTCCAATTGTCTCAAACGAACATGTGCTTAAACGGTGACATTCAGCTTCCATTGTTTGTGAAAATAGTTTTCTAATTCGTTATTTTTGTAAAAAGTTATATTGATTTGAAAATTAGTGAAATAGCTGAAGAAATACGTTATGTGATGCTTTTTTACTATAAAAAAGGTAAAAGGACTGCATAAACATGTAGAAAATTTGTGAAGTGTATGATGGGAATGCTATGAGTGAAGGAAGGACCCTGGAGTGGTTTGCTCGTTCCGGAAATTTATATATCAAAGATGCACCTCCCTCTGATCGGCAAGTCACTGCAAAAGTCTATGAAATTTTGTAACTGGTGGAGCAAGACCGACATGTAAGCTGACAGGAAATAGCATAGGCACTACACACAGGCTTCGTATGGTCCTTAAGAGTCCTTAAAAGTCCTTAAATTTTTTCAAATTGATTTTTGATCCTTAAAAGTCCTTAATTTTGGCCAACATCAGTAGAAGGTCCTTAATTTTAATCATTTGAAATTTCTCTCTGTTTTTACGACTGCTATTTTGAGTGTGAATTAGCATTTTGGAGGAATATTTTTGGCAGTTCACGGACGTACATGGTTATCTTTTGAATGGGTTCATGGGTTATAATTTGTTTCTATTTCTAATATAAATAATGGGATACTCGAGTTTCTAAGCAGGAAGTGAAACATAAGCATTTTGAAATTCTTTTTCTATTTTTTTCTTTTGAAAGAGCTCTTAAACTTTTTACTTTTGGGGTTGTGAAATTTTTTGGTTGTGTTTCTTTTTCTTTTAATTTGGTTTTAACATTTGACAATTTGTCAACATTTTTGGGATTTAAGATCAGTTTCTACAGAAAATTTTAATTTCGAGATTTGCGAATTTTTCGGCGATTTTTTTAAAACATTAACATTGATAAATTCATAATTAATATGGTAATATCGGCGATATTTTTTATTTAAAATAAAATTTTTATTTTTCAATGTCATAATAAAATTTTTCATTTTGGCAACTTATTACAATATTTTAAATTTGAAAGAAAAAAAAACAAGGTATGTAGTTATAAAGCATAATTTACAAAACAGCTCTTAGTAAAAGCAAAATTAGCTATGTAATTAATTAAAATGTCTTCTTTTTAATTTTTTCATAGTAAGTGTTTTTCCCATGTAATTGTCTCAGATTACATCATCCAACACCCATCAAGTAACCATCAACACCATCAAGTAAAACTTATTCTTTGCATCTACTGAGACTTATATATAAAACAACTTATCACCTCTGGCAGTTCAACTTATCACCTCTGGCAGACTTTAAGTATATTAACTGGGTTACAGCCCCTGGAACTCTACACAAAGCTATGACATTAACTGCATTAAGCAGAGCTTGACTAACTTTCAACACTTGCCAACCGTGCCTACATCAGGCCTTTCAGGTTTGTTACAATCAGCAGGTCTCTCTATAGACAAGCAGCAGAGGGACAACATTCAGTCTTTTGTTAAGTATCATGCTGATTATGATCTCATTTCTCATTTTAACCTATGCCGTTTGACACAAATTCTCCCTACTATTTGCTAAACCTCTAGACTGATCAAGTATGTGACAAAGCTAACTATTAGTAAAACGTAAATGTCTCTTATCTTCTTTTAAATATGTCCAACTATTATAAGTGTAAAATATTTAATGCTACTTGATAAACTGCATGAAGTTTATTTTATTCTCAAACTTATTAATAATTATGTTAATTAATTCATGTTTAGTAATAATGCATACTACTTAGGGATCTATTTTATTTTTAGGATGGTATTACAAAAGTGAAATTCAGGCATAGAATAATATTTTTAATTGAATTTATTCAGTTCCCATTTGCTAATAGGTCCTTAATTTTTTTTCATTAATGGTCCTTAAAAGTACTTATTTTCCATGCGCAGAAATGTGTACGAACCCTGTAAACATCAACCACATGACAGACAACCACATGATAGTTTGGAATCATTTGAAAAGAGCAAGTTACGAAAAGAAGCTCAATATTTGGGTGCCACATAAATTTCAACTTAGCAAAACCATCAATTCGGCCCTGTACTGTGCACAATTCAACTGTTTGAACGAAGCAATACAAAAAAAGAGTGACCAGAATTACCCAAAAGAAAGGGAGTTGTGTTCCATCATGACAATACACGGCCACACACATTTTTATGACTTAGAACAAATTGACAGAACTTGGTTGGGAAGTTTTGATGCATCCACCATATAGCCTAAACCTTGCACTGTCTGACTACTATTTTCTTCAGTCTCTGCAAAGGACTCTTGATGGTAAAAAAATTGGCCGACTGAAGAGCCGCTGAAAATTACTCGCCCAAGTTTTTCAATGATAAATCACAAAAATTCTATATCGATGGAATTATGAAGCTTCCCAAAAAATGGCAAAAGATCATAGATAATAATCGGAAATATGTACTCAATTAAAATTTATTTTCAATAATGAAAATTTTTGTTAAAAACGTACCAAAAATGCTCGGAGACTTTTTATGTGACGCAATATATACTCCAAGAGAGAAAAAAGAATCAGGCTGCCATTGCTGTGATGTGTTGTGTATTTTATATTCTTTTCAGTTACTCTTAGTTTTTTCTATGATAGTAACTAATTACTAGCACTTTTACAGATTATTGAGAGTGAATTGAGAGGTGTGGAAAATGCAGCCGTTATTGTATCTCAGTTTGTAAGTATTAGTTTTTGTATTAAATGGTTTGGTAGTGATTTAACAGAATCCTGTATAGATAGTTTAATTTCAATTAAAAATAGTATTTGCAAATTTTTCATTAAAAATATTTAACTCTTTATCGCATAAAAGCCATTGTTTTCACTTGTTGAGTAATTGTTTTTAACATTTTCTTCCATCTAAGAGTCACTGTCATATTTTCTTCCAAATATAATAAGATATTGTTAATAAAGAAATAAATTAGACCTTAGTTACTAAACACTTATAAGAAGTTCTTTATTTTCCTCTAAAGACTAAAGATGTTTCTAAATGATTTTTTATTCTTATGGGCTTATTTTTGTGTTAATTACTATTCATTATTATGCTCAAGAGTCTCAAAGCAACTTTTTTTTTCAAAGATGTTCAATCATTGAAAGAAATTAAACATGCTGTATTTTCAAAAATTCTCAAAATGAGAAAATGATTTGTTTTACAACTATCTGACCCATGATAATGATACCATAACACATGATCTGACCCATTTTCTTGTTAATATTCATAGACATATATTGTAGTGCATAGACTTATAGCTGCTATGGTGTAGCATTATAAGTATAGAAAATGTGACTTGCAGCACATACATTATCTTTGAGTTTGAAATTGCGTTTCATGAAATATTTCATTAATTTGTTCATATATATACATTAAAATGTACATAATAAATATATATTAAATATCTATAATCTATATTATATATTAAAAAATTCTTAACACTAGAAAGCAGCAAGCTTTCTCCTTACCTAGAAGTGCCAACGGCAGTCAAATTGACTGCTCAGAGAATTAAATATGTATATCAAAATGCAAATGCTTTTAAGAATGTTAATTATAGTTATTTAAGAACTTCTTTAAATAACTACAGATTATTTTTAATAATAAATAAATATTTTATTATAAATTTCAACTTACCGTTAATAAAATGCATTTTATAGCTTTTCGCAATTTTTACACAATACAACTTTTTCAACACTGGAAGTGCATTTTCCACACACACATAATATGAAAATTTTTTACACATATCACTTGTTTTGTTGTTGTTACAAAGTTCAATCTGGTACTGACGTCTTTTCTTCGAGAGTATTGCTAGAGTTGGAAGTTTCCTGGGGCAATCGTGGGCTTTTTCTTCTGTTTAAATGAAGCTCTCTTAACTTCTCTGCTACTTGAAATAGGAAGCTGTGCCTCGTAATATTTTTTATAGTAGATAACGTAGGCATTCATTCCTGCTAAATCCAACATATTATCGAAAACAGGGACAGGCCATCTACGTGAAGCAGCGCGAACAGAATATTTACGCGTCATCTGGCCAAGGATATCAACTCCACATTTGGTTTTGTTGTAAAACTCTACTGTTTCTGGAAGTTTCTTCTTATTTTATGAGTCTACATTTATACTCGGGATGGTAAGGTACTTAGTAGTAGGACATTTTTATTCCTTTTTCCCTGATAGACCATCAGTGTAGTTTCACCATTCTTTAGCAAAACTGTTTCAAACAGCCAGGTTTTTGATTTTCTTACTTCATGTGGAATTTCTTTTCGATGTCTTCTTACTGTGCCCACAAAACTTTGGTTTTAGCTAATGATAGTGAAGAAAAATGATTATCCACCGTCAAATTTCTACCTGAATTCAGATAATGGCTTAGAGGACGCATTACAACATTTTCAGGAAGGCTTTCAGTTTTGCGTTTTGATGTATCTTTTCCAAGATATGGAAAAGTATTGCACATAAACTTAGAGTCTACATCGACTAGCATCCAAAATTTGATACTGAATTTGTCTGGTTTATTAGGCATATACTGAATAAACTTACACCAGGCTTTGGATGGAAATAACTGCTCATCCACAACTAGATTTTCTTCGGGGCTATAGGAAATTGCACAATTGTGCATAAATTTATTCCAAATATCTGAAAAAGTGCAAACTTATCACTTTCTAAATGCTGCATTCTAGTTGACTTCAAGTCAAATCTTAGCTATTTCATAATATCTTAAAAACGATTGCAAGACATTGTTTCTCAAAAAAAAAAAAAAAAAAAAAAAAAAAAAAAATAATAATAATAATAATAATAATAAAATAATAATAAAAATAAGGAGGACCCCCATGTATTATTCCACAAAAAAATCATAATCCATATCATTGCAACCATATGCTCCTCTTGCATACATAATAGCAATAAAAGAATCAAGCCCTTCTAAAGATATTGTCCAATTTTCTTCATTGTTCAAAACTGCCTCTGTTTCTGTGCAATTTTTAATATGGCATAACATTGATTCATCCACAAATAACCTGCAAGTACTTGGTGCATTGTATTTTGTGAAGTAGATGTCACAGTTCATGAGGTTCCATCTTTCAAGACATATATAGAACTTTCTTCGTAATTTTGGAAAAGACTTCTTCTTCCCCATGCGTATTTTGAATTAGGTAAATCATGTTTTCTCTTTGATCTGTACTTTGTACATTAGTAGAACCTTTAAAAAAAAAAAAAAAAGTATATCTGTATTTTTGACAATAAATGATTCATTATGTTTTTAAAAAAATTCAAGTACATCAGAAATTATTAAAAAAAATGTACAATACATAAAAATATTTCTTACCTGTTTCAGCTGATGTGGACACCACAATTATTAATGACGAAATATTAGCTACGGAAATATCGATGGGCTGAGAATCATGCCCCAATGATTGCTCCTCCATGCTCTCTTCAGAATCACTTAGAGAATCACTTTTAGACTTTATTTCCCTCAAAGTTTTGTAGCGACTCGTATTCGATATCATCATCAATATTAAGTTCTTCAACATCAGATTCATTTTCAAATAAATCGTGTAATAGTCGTACCATTTCTTCTGGACTCTGGTATTGCGGCCTTCGAGCTGCTATTACAGGGCACTTGAAAGAATAAAATGCCACAAAACATAAACTACCTCAACTACTGCACACTAATGGCTATAACATTTTGCCAAAGGGGGGTAGACTATTGACTATAGGCCGGGAAGATGGGAAGTATTTTCTGTATAGATAAACAGAGAATGAAAAGGAATGTGTAGGCTAGATGTTTTTCCAAGAAAAGGTGTTATCTGAGCGGAAGTATATCCTGTTGTAAATAATCAGTGAATGAGAAGAATATGTACACCAGATGTGTTTTTCGAAGAAAAAGTGTTTTTTGAGCAAGATAACACGATAAATGCAACCAGTATTACTAGCAGTCAGTATGACTGCTTGTGCCACTTTTAGGCATAACTAATACAGTCAAAAGTCGTTAATCCGGACTTGTCGGGACTTGGGCGATTCCGGATTATCGATTTTTCCGGATTATAGATTATCAGTTTAAATCTCGTAAGATGGCATGCAGAAATTCTAAAATTAAAAATATGAAACCGTAATTTATGAAATAAAGAACAATTATGATCTAAAGGGTATCAAAATTTACAAAAAAAAAAAAAAAAAAAAAAAAAAAAAAAAAAAAAAAAAAAAGCTTAATATTTATTTGTTTACTTTATTAAACATTTCTTTCAATGTAAGTTGTTAAGTTGCTTCGTTTTATGTGATAATACTTTCTCTTTAATTCTATAAACAGACATAATTTCTTGTTCAGTTACAAAGTTCCGCTGTTCAAGTCCCATAATTGCTGTGCCGAGAATACCGACTAACTTGTCAATCAAAATTTTTTGTTTTTCACTATCCTCTCTGTCACCTTCTTCATATCTTTATCCATTTTTTGCAGCAATTCCACTTTTTGTTTGATGGACATCGAACATACTTTCGTTTTGTAGATCCTTTGGGAGCTCCAGCATCGGAAATTCTATTTGACATAATCGAAAGTTCAAGTTTACTTTTATAAAATTGCTCTTACAGTCTGCAAAAAATAATATGCCGGATCCAATTCGAAGATTAAGGAACAGTGCAATCATCAACATTAACTGAAATAGATAATTAGGTAATTTTAGCTTATACCGTTTGTTATACATTAAACGCGCACGCGAAAACATATTCTGCACTTGCGCACATGCATAGGCGCAGTCGTAAAGGTCTTACACGCACGCGTAAACTCCTATGCGCATGTGTCAACGCGGCGCATGCGCAGAAAGTTTTTAGCATTGAGGTCCGGATTATAGATCATTCCGGATTAAGGGTGTCCGAATTAATAACTTTTGACTGTAATATCTTTATTAATTTTATTTGATTCATATTTGATACCAATAATTTTCGAGGTTTTTTTTAAGAAAATACAAAAATTTGTGACTGCTCTGGCACAAAAAAATGACTGCTCTGGCACCTCTAGGGTTAACTTCCTCTGAAGAAGCTATACAATGGTTCACATTTGTTTTGAAACACTTTTGCTTTTCAATTTTATTTGCAAGTAACAGTTACTAAGTATTAATGCAATGACTTTATTTTCCTACTAACCATCTTTTTCAAAACCTGCTTGTTTTGGAATATATATATGCTATTTGAAAAAAGGTTATTAAAAACATTTTTGGTGAAAAAATATTCAAGACATTCCGAAAATGAACTTGCAAAAGTATTCGGACACTTTGAACAAACAATTCATATTTGATAAAAACATGAAAATAATAGGGTATCCAATATTTTGTAGAATAACCTTAAGCTAAAATTGCACTTTTTGTTTGTTTTCGGATGAATTTGATTAAGTTTTGTGTATAAGATAATGTGTGTGTTTCAGTAGAGCTTTCAAAGAATATCATATTTTGTTATGCCTTTTCCCAATTTGTTCCCTGCATGTTTGATAGGATTTAAGTCTGAAGAACACGGAAGGAGTTATGAACTTTAGAACAGATGTATAGTAATTGCAAGCAAACATTTAAGGCTGCATGTTTAGAATCATTATCCAGATAGAACTTGAATGTATTTTGTATTCCAGGTTTTCTTTGAGATGGTTTCGAGTTCTCATTAAAAATGTTTGTACATTTATACTAATCCATATTATGTTCTAGTAGAGCTTTCAAAGTTTTGAACTTCAGAACAGATGTACAGTACAAAGTCTTTAATCTGGACATCCATAATCCGGACCTCAAAGCTACAAACTTTCTGCGCATGCGTAAACGCATAATACATTCACGCATGTGAATATGCGTTTACGCATGCACATAATACGTTTACGCATGCGTGTTTAATGTATAATGGACGGTATAAGCTATCCTTTAAGAACTTGAATGTATTTTGTATTCCGGGTTTTTTTCGAGATGGTTTCAGGTTTTCATTAAAAATGTTTATACATTTATACTAATCCATATTATGTTATGTATATTATGTAACCTCTCTCTCTCTCCTTTATTTATTATTTTTTTTTTATTTGAATGCTGATGACATCAAAGGACTTTAAGATTTTACAAGTTTCACTACTAATCTTGTTATGAGCTATCATAATTTTAACATTTACTTGTATTATACACTTTGAATATAGTTTGGCTGCTTTGAATTTAAAAACTATTTTTGTCAAACTTTCATTGATAAATGTCTTTTCATTAGTATTTCGTCTGATAGATCGTACCATAACTATTGTTTCTTAGTTATATTGGTACTATTCAGTTTTGAGGGTCGTAAAAATTCGCCAAACTATTGTTGATGACAGTGCTGCCAAAAGTAATTGCGGCAACACTAATGCAAGAAAGGATGTATAATAGTAAATAACTATCTAAGATTGATGTTTTAATTTAGATGAAAGGTTAATTTCATATATACTTTTTTTATTATTATAATTTATATGAAAAAAGGCTAAACATGACTGAATGGAAGCATAAGAGTAAATAACTATTTCAGATCATTATATTAATTTATATAAAATTGCTAAACATAACTGAATGGATGCCTGCATCGCTATTTCGCTACCGACTTATCGCTAAAGCATAATTTCATCTCGTTGGTTGTTCAAACGTAATTTTCTATAATGAATGATGCCTTTTCTATGAAAAAATTCTCGGTAAAGTGCAGAATCATCCACTTATTTGTTTGCCGCTTTTTACAACGGTAAAAACAATTGGATTTTTGCCAATTTTCTTTTACTTTTTAAGTGAAAATAGGTCGATGTGTACATAGATAAAGTCAATGGTGTGCGCACTGCCATTTTTGTGCAATTCTGAGATTTTTTTTTTAAGTGAGAATAGGTCGATGTGTACGTGGATACCGAGTATGTGCAATTCTTAGAAACGCATCAAGCAGTGGGGGATTCTGCACTTTACCCAAAATTTTATTGCAGACTTTTCGTCATGGGCTATTCCCAAATTGTTAAATCCATAGGATATCAAAAAAGGACTTAAAAATTAAACTAGTGTTTCAATGGCGTGTTAAAAAATATAGAACTATATAAACTTAGGCAATCTGAAATCAGCGCGTATGCTAGATTTGGTGCACTGTTAAAGGGACGCGTTTGCTAGATTTGGCGCTTTTGCGCATACATTTTCACTGCAATTTTTTTACGGTCCTCAAAACGGAATAGTTCTAATTTAATATGTGTATAACGTAAAACAAACTGTTATATTTTATCTATTTCAGTGACATTTTTTAAATAAATGACAAAGTATATATGTTTTTGTTCTTTGAAGAAAGATATATGTCAGTTTACTTTAAATAGTATTTCTTCTGTAAAGATATTCTTCTGTTAATCTTTGGTTGAATTTTGCTTAGTTAGTTATTTGTTTTTAGTTATTTGTGCCAAAAAGAGTTTTTCTATTTCTTAATGTATAACTTAGTTTTCATCAGGTTTAGCCTGAAATCATTGCATTTTTAGAAGTTTTATTCAGTTCCATAAGTCTGGATTAGCTATACATTGAGAACTTCATAGTATTGTCATAATTCTAATTTAATATGTGTGTAACATAAAACAAGCTGAAAATTATCGTACAGATTAATTTAACTAATACTGTCACTGACACACTGAAATGTAAATAATGCTTTTAAACTAATTGATCTTTATCCTAATACAGTAATGAATATTTTCTTGAACAGAAACTGCATTAACTGCATTAAAAGCAAGCATATTATCTCAGACTTGAACAGAAAATTGCACTAGTGACTTCTTATCTGTTCTAATTCAAGTAATTTTTAGCCATTTTATTAAATATTTAGTTGCTAATGATAAGTTTATTTATTTTTAGCTTCTTGACATAGGTATATATGTATATATATATATATATATATGTCAAGTTTGGTATCTAAATTCTCCAGCAACAATCACTACACAGCTGACATATGTAAGACTGAAAATGAATGCATATCCCTTCGTTTTCAGTACTTTTCTAAAGTGAAATTTCCAGCATTTTGAAATTAATTCATTGCTAGACTGCATTTGGAAAAAATTAGGATTTTTTCCTTTTTTCATTTTGATTAATTTTTTTAGTGCTAAAGTAAATCATTATTATTGAACTTGTTAATGCTTTTTTTATCAAATTTTAAATTGTTGTGTTATTTTAAAATCTAAAAACAATATTTTTTTATACAGAATTTAGTGGATCTTGCAGGCTCTGAGCGAGTTGCTCAAACAGGTGCTAAAGGAGTAAGATTTAAAGAAAGCATCAATATTAATAAATCGCTTTCCATGCTTAGTCATGTAATCAGCCAACTTAGTGTAAAACCAATGTAAGTAGTGTAATTCCTGTAATACTTTGAATTTAAACTCAGTAGGATTTTAATACTGGAAAACAAGAGACATAATAAGGAAATAAAAAATATTTTATAACAGACTAATATCTTAATTATTTAAGACCTAGTCATCAGGATATGGGGAATTGGCAGAAATTCGTTAGTAAAATAACTGCTTTGAATTTAAATTGAACTTTAGTTATACATATAAAAAATTGTAATAAACAGTACAGCTTATATCTGATGTAAGATGATGTTTTATTTCAAAACTACTATTTGGGAATTTCTGGTTTATAAGTATTTTCTATTAACTAGCGTGCCTGTAAAACATATTTTGTCAGTTTAATATCATAATGTATATTTTGTCATCCATTAATTGATTGATTTCAGTTATATCAGTTTCGTTTAACATTTATTTGCATTTTTCCATACATTCGATCAAATCTTATCACTCAAGCTTTTTTTTATTTTGACACATCTTTGATGCCTTGCATCACTATTTAGTTTGAATTATTTCCCAATTAAACTTTTTTTTTTTTTTTTACTGAAATGGACATTCTCAATTTGGGATTGGTCAAGTGATGAGCAAGCAGCTATACTGTTTGTTCAAGAAAGGCAGTCTGCACAAAGAAAGGCTATATTTGAGTAACCAGCTCATGTAATTAGAATGTGACTCGAATTGAAATTGGAAAATTTCTGAATCTAAAATCATACTGCAGATTTCAATATTCTGTTAACTGGTTAATGACTGGGTCTTTGTCATTGCAATGGAAAACTTCAGTTAAATAATCTGCATGTTTTCTTCATATACTTTGTTAATAAAAAGTGTTGTTTTTGCTGGTCATATCTAAAAATCTTTAAATTTACAGTTATCATCATCATCATGAAATTTAGTGATTGATTACAAATTATGACAAGTATTTTAAAAAACAATTCTGAAAACACTTTCTCTCTTTACCTGACATGCTCCACACAGAATATTTTGTATTAAAATATTTCAAGAATTCTAAATGGGTACTTTACATTTTAGTTAGCACGAAATTTTGATTTCATTTTTTAAATGATAGATGCACATTTTCGAAGGAAGTGTAATACAGATATAGTATCATTAACTAACTTAAATTTTAATAAGATTAATAATAGCAAACTGAATGAAATAATTTGAAATCAGAAGTGAAATAATTGGAAAGTTAAGTAAGAGTGCAATTTGCAATGCTAGCTGAGCTTAAATTCAATGGAATCTAATTCTTTTTTTCCTTCTTTTCTGCTGTGCTAACAAAAGAAAACCAGTATATGCACCATTTTGCTCCAAATAAGCACAAACCTTCAAGCTTCATTTACTGTTAGAGGGCTACATAATGTAAAAAAAAAAAATGCTATTCTCCCACAGTCACTAGCTGACCGAAAATGTTGTTTGTTTGCCAGCAGATTTTTAAAGGCAAAACAATTCGGAGGATGATTTAATATTGCTGCAGATGATGTTTCTTGACAAAAGAAATCTCAGTTAATTGGGAGAAAATTGTTGCTTTTTCTCAAGTATCATATTATCTATTCCTACATACTGTGTGAAAAGTAAAAATTAAAAGAGGTATCTGAATTTTGTACTTGTGCTGCTATTCAAATTTAAGACAGCTTGATTAATTTTCAAACTGCATACTAAATTATGAATTATTATTATTTAGTTGTAAAGTAAGATATTAAATATTGCATTATAATTACTAATTTTACCTTTTTTCAGACGATTTATAAGTTATCGAGGCTCAAAACTTACCAGAATCTTGCAGAATTCGCTAGGAGGAAATGCTAAAACTGCTATTATTTGTACTATAACACCTGTGTCCATAGATGATACCCTTTCTACACTAAAAGTATTTTTATTTTTTATTTAAAAAGTTTTATTTATTTACAAATGCATTATATATATATAAAATATCATTTATTCCTACAAATAGATTTATGTTTTGAAAAAAGTAATTCCAACAAATTAGATATACTTAATAGCAAATGGTTAACTAATAAATGTGTTATTTAGCTTATGATAAGTATAAAATATTGAAGACAAATGAGACAAAATGAGTAATGACTCATTTTGTCATGTTTTGACATGTTCATTTTGTCATGAAATGACTAAACAATTTTTTTATGTTAGTAATTGAATAATAAAAGAGTGTGGTAACCTTTTATGTTGACATTATGCTTGGGGATGAATGCAGATTTAAGTTAAATGTGCTAAAAAATGTTGACAAGGAAAAAAAAATCTACCAAAAATTTCTTTCCATATGCTAAAAATAGATTTTGTTGATGATACTCATAGACCCAAAGATTACATTTAGGGCTATTTGAATTAAGAATAACTGATTTGTTATTCACGTAAACCCTGAACCAGCACCAGGCCTCGTATGGTCGCATCGAGTTGCAGAATTTAGGACCCACAGAGACTGCATCAAGTGGTAAGGTATCTAGCACCGGCCCTGAATAAGGCTAAGTATATGGTGAGAATTTATTTATTCAGAACTCTGATAAGCATTAAGCATGTGCAAGAAGTAGACATAAATATAATAAATAACTAAACTAACACCATTCAGGCTTAATTATCTTAATGTGCAATAGAAGCAAGATAAAATTTAACGGAACAGCTTGTCATCAGTCTTGCATGATGCATAGCCAAATGTGTATAGTGAAGAATAGCTAAATTTGATGATGATAGCCGCTAATTTTAAAGGTTTTCGGATATCGCAAAACAAAGGTGAAATTTTCCAATTAACGGATTTTGTAAAGAAATGTGGAGAAACAGTAATAAATGAAGATGATATAAAAGAAGTTCTTGATTGTGATGACAATGCTTCTCAATCATCAATTGATTAATGAATGGCGGGATCTGTAGTATGGTTCTAGATCCAGAAAATACCACTACCTATAGCGAAGAAAGTGACAGAGAAGTTACTGAAAACAAGAAAATTTTGATTGACAAGTTAGTCAGAATTCTCGAAATAGCAGTTACAGGACTTCAATAATGTAATTGAACAAGAGATTATGTCTGTCTACAGAATTAAAGGGAAAGTATTAGCACTAAAAACGAAGCAACTTACACAACTTACATTGAAAGAAATGTTTAATAAGGTCCTTAATATTAAGCTTTTTTTTTTTTGTAAATTTTGATACCCTTTAGATCATAAATACTTCATTATTTCATAAATCAGGATTTCATATTTTAAATTTTATAATTTCTATATGCCATCTTGCTAGGTTTAAACTGATGATCTAATTAATATCCGGAAAAATATGTAAATCGCAGAAGTGCCGATGAGTCCGGATTTTGTACTGTATTAAAATATATAACATTGCATAGTGGCAAACTACAAGAAATGGGGACAAAATATTCCAAAACAAAAAATATAATGTGAAATTTATATCTTTTGTTGTATCATCATGCAGGGCTTGATGCTATGAAAGAAGTAAATAAATAAAACAGCCTATTTCTGAAGCAACAAAGTTACAAATTAATCTTTAAAATTTAAAAATAATTTTAGAAAAATAAAAGTAATTTGTGTCTGTATGAGTTAGAACTGATAGACACAGATTATATTAAATTAATTGCAAAATATTTTAAGTCTTTAAAAATCTTACCTATATAAATTGCATTTCAGTAGCATTAATTAATGAAGACCAGATTCTTTTTTTTTTTTCTTTTGAATGGTAATAAACGTTTTCATTTAATGGAAAAACTTGAATTTTCCTTACAAAGAAAATAACACCACCACCAATACTGTCTTTATTAGTATAGTGGTTAACATTACTGGCTATCATATTGCTAGGCTCGGGTTTGAATTTCAGAGAAGGCTCGGAGTTTGTAATTGTGCAGTCAGTTTTTTTTTTTTTTTTTTTTTTTTTTTTTGTATGGAAGCATTTAAAATACGTACTGAGCTGAAAGTCCTCTTGGGAGGTTTGGTGTTAAGGAAGGAGGAGTGGGAGATTCATAGATTGGTTTTCTAGAGCCTATAAGGTGCCCAACCCTCATGCCAGTGATGGGAGATTCTCTTTTATAATTGCGATGAAGCTGGGCAAAGTTGTACTATTACCTATAAGGTGCTGAAGATGGCAATGACAGATGCAATCTTGCATTTCTCATCACCATAAAATTCATGGAATTGTTCTTGTACGATCCGTTGTTAAAAATAGTGGACTGTAAATTGACTTGATATTACTTCAGTATAGAACCCAAGAAACCTCAGAGTTATAATGTCGACCGAAACTTCTTTATTGACTTTCAAACAGTAAGTTAGTTGAGGAATGGCGAAGACCACACTGCAAACTCCGAACTCAGTAGCGGCTTACCAGCACAAACTCAGAAGAACCTCTGCTTAGTTGAAACTCCAGTAATTCACAGCAACCTCAAAGCTCTAAACGCGAGCTTTAAAAACCTAACAAATTTGCGTTTGCGCCGCTCCTCGGTACAAAGAAAGAAATACAATTTGCATAACATCGAACATACCCCAGCCTTGAAGTCCCAAGGGGGTTCAAACAATAAATTTAAACTGTTGAACTGCATAAACCTGAAAAATAAAAATTAAAGTCTCTAAATCAGGAATTAAATGGCAAAGCACATAGCTTTGCTATAGGTCGTTTTATTTCACCATTAGACGTGCGTAAACTCACCACTTGAACTTTCTCATCAAGACCAGGATACACTTTAGTAATTCTACCTAATTTCCAACGTAGCGGAGGTAGATTTTCGTTCTTAATAAGAACCATATCACCAATCTTCAGATCTTGTTGTAACTTGCACCACTTGGGTCTCTGCTGCAATCTAGATAAATACTCACTGCTCCATCGATTCCAGAAATGTTGAAATAACCTTTGCACGTTCCTCCAACGGTCACTGCAGCTCATGGTTTCTTGAATTTGGTTAGATTCTGGAATAGCGCTTAAAGCCGCTCCGGTTAAAAAGTGTCCTGGTGTTATCGCCTCCAAGTCGCTACAATCACTTGAAGCTGGTACCAAAGGCCTAGAATTAAGACAGGATTCAATTTGGGTTATTAATGTCAAAAATTCCTCGTATGTTAAAATAAGTGTTCCTAAACATCTTTTTAAGTGATGCTTTCATAGACTTGATACCGATACCCACCCGCTTCCCAAAGCCCTCCAAAATGAGGGGCAGAGGGAGGATTAAATAACCATTTAATATTTTCTGAAGAAATATAACCCTGTAGCTGTTCATCACGTTGAACAATAGAAAAGGCTTAATTCTTTATTAGCTCCTACAAAATTCGTTGCACAATCACTATGAATTTCACACGGTTTGCCTCTACGAGCTATAAACCGCTTAAGTGTCGCGAGGAATGATTTTGTTGAAAGATCTCCAACTAATTCTAAGTGTATTGCTCTTGTAGTAAAACAAATAGACATACGTAACACTTAAAGATTTTGACTCCTCTACCAGGACGATATTTAACGTTAAATGGTCCTGCTAAATCAATCCCTACACGAGAAAAAAGCTCTACTTTGAGTAACTCTTGAAGCGGGTAAATCTGCCATTAGCTGAGTTGCAGTTTGCGCTCTAACTCTACGGCAGATAACACATTGGTTTATACACTTTCTTATAATATCTCTAGCATTCACAATCCAAAATCTATGTCGTATGACAGAAATGAGTAGCTGCGTACCTGCGTGAAGATACGTGTCACGATAATGCTTAATAATTAAACGCGTAATATTGTGATTCTTAGGTAAAATCATAGGATGTTTCTGATTATTTGAAACTGTAGAGTTTCTGAGCCTTCCGCCTACACGCATTATTACTCCCGCGGAATCCAAGAAAGGACTTAAAGACAGTAATTTACTTGATGTCTTCAAGGGTTTACCAGATTCTAAACAGAATAATTCTTCTGGAAATTCGGCTCTTTGCACAATCCTAACAATCATAGAAGTAACTTCACAGAATTCTTCAGTAGATAAATAACCCTTTATACGCTCTGTAGGTAACTTACTACAATTATTTCTGAATCTTAAACACCACGCTAACACTCGACATAACTTTAACCATGATGAAAATCTTGAAAACACACTAGGCTCTTCAAATTTGGAAACATTTGAACTGAAACTCTTTTTCAATTCCTTCAACATAACTTCACCCTCTAATTCTACACTTGAATTTTGCTGTACATGAATTAGGGATTCGTTTAACCACTGCGGTCCCTTCATCCATAACTCACATTGTAGGAATTCTGATGGAATAAAACCTCTGGTCCCACAGTCTGCAGGATTTTCTTTCCCAGCAACATAATTCCATTGAATACCTGGAACAGCTTCCTGGATTTTTGCAACTCGATTTGCCACAAAAGGTAGCCAACGGCGAGGTTCGGACGAAACCCATGCCAATGTAACCCGCGAGTCGGTCCATGCGTAAATATTGTTAATAGGTAGTTCTATGCATGATAATACTCCATGTAAGAGGTTGGTTAAAAGTAACGCAGCACACACAGCAACCTCGAAGAACAACTCTAGTCTCGGAAGAGACTGGGTTTTTAAGGGCGCTACTCTGGTTTTCGATGTCAGAAGGCTGACTTTGACTGACGAATCAAGGTTGATTGTTCGGAGATAGATGACTGCACAATAAGCCTTTTCTGAAGCGTCGCAGAAAGCATGGATATATCTATAACTACTACTGCCTTCGGACTCAAGACATACCTCGGAAATTGTAAGCTTGAAAGTAAGGGCAATTCTAGATAGAAACGCTTCCATTTCCTACTTATTCTCTTATCAACGAGTTCATCCCAACCCAGCTGTAAGTTCCATAACTCTTGTAATAATATTTTCGCGTATATTATTGTTGGCGCTAACCATCCCATTGGATCAAAGATTTTGGCTACTTCTGATAAAATAGTCCTCTTAGTAAACTCTTTATCACTTATGCATACCGAAAAATGAAACGTATCACTAGAGTTGTTCCAATTAATTCCCAATACTTTTACTTTCTTGTCACTGTTTATTTCAAGAGAAATACTGGATTCTCGTAAGCACTCGGGAATATTCTCTAAAATAGCTGAACTGTTTGAAATCCACTTCCTTAAGCGAAATCCACCCCTTTTCATCATTTCATTCAACTGCTGAACTAGAACATTCGCTTCCTCTTCACTTTGTGCCCCTGAAAGCAAATCATCAACATAAAAATCACGAAGGGCAATTTTTGATGCTAAAGGAAATCTCACTTGTTCATCTAATGCAAGTTGTTTCATTACTCTAGTAGACAAATATGGCGCACAGGCAGTCCCATATGTAACTGTCACTAATCTAAATGTACTCAAGGGCTCACTAGGACTATCCCTCCAAAGCATTCGTTGCCAATTTGTATCTTCTGGGTGGACACGAATTTGTCTGAACATCTTCTCTACATCGGCACATACTGCAATTTTGTGAGTTCTAAACCGTAGAAGAATTGGAAACAGCTCTTGCTGAACTCTTGGCCCAACCATCAAAATATCATTCAATGAAAGACCCGATGTCGTTTTAGCTGAAGCATCGAAAACAACTCTCAGTTTAGTCGTAGTACTTGATTCCTTTAATACGGCATGATGAGGCATGTAATACGTAGAGTCAATAAGAATCTCTCCCTCAGGCACTCCCTCCATATGTCTCAGCTCAAGGTATTCCCTCATGAAATCCTTATACTGTTCATATATCTGAGGCCTTTTTAGAAGTGAATTTTCTAAAGATTGGAATCTACGCATAGCTAATTGTCTGGAATCTCCAAGCTGAGAAGGCGGAGAGTGAAACGGTAATTTCACAGTATATACCCCACTTTCCTCTCTCGTATATGTAGATTTGAAATAATCTTCACATGCTCTCTCCGATTTAGTAAGCATGTCAAACGTAGGTACAGCATCCAATTTCCAAAAGTCAGACAGCATCTGATCAGTTTCCACTTGTATATTATTAACATAGATAGTAGGATTAATTTCTGTTGAATTATTCACACTACCTGAAATAATCCATCCTAGTTCAGAACGAGAAGCTACCAGTTTACCTTCTTCGCATTTAATTATTTCTCCCTTTAAAAGAGGTAAGGCAATATCTATGCCTAAAAGTATATCAACAGGCCCACTTTTGTAAAATGTTGGATCTGCTAACATTAAATCATTATATTCCTCAATAAAGTTCCAATAATTCTATTGATGATAAATACTGATGTTTTAAATGACACTTTCGCCGGAAAATGCGGAACGAAGTTTATTTCCGTAATTCCATTAGTTTTCGTATCCAAAGACCCTAAACATGAAATAAAAACTTTGGCATTTCTTCTTGCTAACCCTAGCCTTTGTACACAATCTTCTGAAATCAGTCTTGCTTGACTGCCAGGGTCAAGGAGGGCTCTACACAATTGGTATTCACCCGATGAATCTAACACTTTAATAACAGCCGTACATAATAAAACTTCACTCTGAAAATTAAAGTCTGAAACACAAGATTTAATTACTGGACTAGAACTTGCGATATTCTCCCCTGACCCAGCCGATTGAGCGCGAGGTTCTGGCCCAGGGAAAAATGGCTTAGCCGTCACTGATAATTCATTCGAACTGTTCGTAACTCCTTTACGTGCCTTTGGTTCATTTTGAACTCTTTCGAAATGCAGTAGTGTGTGATGATTTTTAAAGCACTTTTTACATTTATGTGTACTTCTACACTCGAAAGCTTTATGGTTTGAAACCAAACAATTAAAACAAACATTATTTCTCTTGACAAAATTAACGCGTTCCTGAACATTCAGATTTAAAAACTTATTACATTTAAAAACTGAATGACCGGCTTTACAATACGTACACTGCGCGCGAATCTCTGAAGCCAATGAAGTTAATTTGTCTTTTGTAACTTGTTTTTTAACACCTTGCGTTTTACCTGCTTGCAAGGTTCTGGCATGAGATTTCAAGAACTCTAGCAGATTATTAAGTGTTGGTATTTCCTCACTCTTTAATGTTCTTTCCCACCATCCTCTCGTCGAAGAATCCAATTTAAACTGTACTATTAACATTAAAATAGTATCCGCGAATTGCTCCACTTTGAATCCTAGATTTTCAAACGAACATACACACTCTCTTACAGTGTCTACTAACGCTAATATCTGACTAGGAATTTCAGATTGTAAATTTGATAAATACAAGATTTTCTTTAATAACGATGAAAGTAATTCTCTCTTATGTGAAAATCTTTGACACAATAAATGCCACGCTATTTCGAAATTCCTGTCACAAATAGTTAAAGCTTGAACAATCCGCAAAGCATCTCCTTTTAAAGAACCCTTTAAATATTGTAGCTTTTGTGCACCTGATAAACGGTCATTATCCACTATCGCCGTTTTAAATAAATCAAAAAATGATAACCATTCTTCAGTACTGCCACTAAATACAGGAAGAGTTAGCTTAGGTAAGCGTATACTCGCTATTTCACAAGATTTAGTTTCCACACTAATGTCTTTAACATTCTTAACTCTGGTTAGCATTAAAATTAACTCATCAACAGTATCTTGTATGACCTGTTGTTCTTCTATAAATACATCAATATCTTTTTCTTCACACACTACAAATATTTTATCTCTCAAATAAATGTCCACTTTTCAAACTGTTGCCAAAATGTTAGAGTCCTGCATTATATTTGAAGAAATTAAATAATGAAATCTGCGTAAATGTATGTATATTTCTCACATTGTCATAAAGAAACGGTACATAGAGTCATCGAATTTTGAATAACGTAATCCTCCAACGAATATGAGCATGTGGAAGACCAAATTTGAAATTTGAAATTTGTTTTATGATCGATTTCCTATTTTTTAAAACTTTGACGAATTTTTGATTAACAAACTCAAGGATTTCAAAGCGAGCAATGGCAACGTTGTGCAGAAAAAACATTTTTATCTCCAGCGCGTGAGTCTCTGTATCGGAAATTCTAAAGATATGCTCGTTTTAAAACTATTTTGCGATATTGCTGTTGCACTGGATCTTATGGTTTAAGTGCAAGGAACATGATATTTAATAAAGAAAGGTAACACACAAAATGTTAAAAAACGCCCCTTTGGACGTAATTTAAAATCTGAAACATTTCAGATTTTGTTTTTTATTTTTTAATCTAGATTTAAAAAGTTCTAACTGATCAACATCAGCAGAATCGTAAGTCACTGTAATTTTCTCTTTCAGTTTACTTAACTTAGCTTTAGCTACACGCTTTTTAGTCTTAAGCGTTGTAAATTCCATTATCTAATAAGAAAGATAAAAAAACACACTGACTCACCAAATTTACTGCGACTCCGTAGCTGACGGACCAAAAAACATGTACGATCCATTGTTAAAAATAGTGGCCTGTAAATTGACTTGATATTACTTCAGTATAGAACCCAAGAAACCTCAGAGTCATAATGTCGACTGAAACTTCTTTATTGACTTTCAAACAGTAAGTTAGTCGAGGAACGGCGAAGATCACACTGCAAACTCCGAACTCAGTAGCGGCTTACCAACACAAACTCAGAAGAACCTCTGCTTAGTTGAACCTCCAGTAATTCACAGCAACCTCAAAGCTCTAAACGCGAGCTTTAAAAACCTAACAAATTTGCGTCTGCGCCGCTCCTCGGTACAAAGAAAGAAATACAATTTGCATAACATCGAACAGTTCTTGTTACTCTCAGACAAATCAGATAAGTCGCAACATAGAGCTGATGCTATATTTTACTACATAGAATATATTAACATTGCTTTTATTTATGTATTTATTTTTTTACAGTTTGCCAGACGAGCAAAATGCATAAAAAATAAACCTGAAGTGAATAAAGTTGAAGGTGAAGAAGCTTTGCTTAACCGTTATGCAAATGAAATTAAAAAACTCAATGAACAGTTGCAAGTAAATAAATTTTTATTTTATTTTTTACGTTAAATTATAATTGCTATATATGGCTATATTTCTGATGCATAAAAATTTTTCATTAGGCAAAAGAAGGAGAAACTTTAGGAAAAGAAAAATTACAACGAGAAAATGAAGATCTTCAACGACAGATACAAGAGCTGAAACTGAAATTCGTGTCACAGTTAGTTCCAGAATATGAAAAGGTATGTGTTTAATACATATTAGATTTATTAAATGTATGGAATTCATCAGAGTATAATTGCTATTTCCTTAGAGTATTTTAACCTGAACTAGACAAACATTTTATCTTATTCATTTATTCTTAATCATTCAACTAAGTTTTAAATAAATTTCAAGGAAAAAATTGCCATTGAATTATTTTTCTAATTTTCAGTTGTTTACTATTATGTAATACACATAATAATAATAACAATAATAATAAAATATATAATAGCTCTTTCTAATGCAATACAACTACAGCAGTGTAGATAGTGGATTTTTCCATCTCCAAGGTTATAAATACTATGATTTTCACATGAATGTGCAGGCATTGTTTTTATAACACAGTTTTTCATGCTAAGCTCATGGTATTAGTATTACAAGTGCTAGTCACCACTTTTAAAAACAGAGATAAAACTTCTACATTTTCAGTGATTCAACCTCTGGCTTGATGATACTTTCAGGGATACAGAATGAAGTTTTTTAGTATAGGGAATTGGAACCTCTTGCAACGAATTCTCACTGATCTGAGATTGACTCTGTGGCATCCACATAGGCATCACAGGTAATGAATTTGCTGACAATGTCTCTATGCAGCAAACTGTCAAATATTGGAATTGACAACATTATTCTTGATCTCCTATTAACTATGAGTGACAGTGAAATTCCTGTTTGATAATCTGTGAAGAGTGCTGGAACTTGACCACTGCACATTTAGAAATACATCAGTTTTTCTTCGGAATATCCACTGCATTCTGTTTGAAGGGTGAAGTGATCTTTTTCTGTTCATTTGTAATTCAAAGAATGTAATTGCAAAGTTTCTTGGCCAACCGCTTCTAGGCTTCATGCTTCCCTATTTTTCTGTGGTAGCCAAGGCATTCTAATGGTCTGTTAAAAACAAGTCCACGGCAGAGTCAATCATCTGCATCTGGATAAATCTTTTGGTGCACTTGTGTTTAGATTCAATTGCAATGGTTATGGATCTGGCCCTATATTCAACTGCAATGGTCATAGATCTGGACCTGCTTTTAATGTAAGTAATTATGATGCTCTTCTGTTATTGGGACCGATTGAAATATATGTGTACATGCAAGTTTGCAAGTATGTATGTGTGTATATGTAGATACACACATATACATATGTAAGTAAGTACATGTATACATGTATACACAAACACATATATCCATACATACAAAGCATACATATGTTTCTGAATCCGGTTCCAATAACAGAAGAATACTGTAATTTCTGCCAATTGCTTAGCTATTTGATCCGTGAGCCCTTTCCAATAATCTTAGAAAATGTGTTTCTTAAAAAAACAATCTTCCAATGTTTAAGCCTGAAAGCATATTTATCTTCTCTTCTGGACTTAGTGTTGCATGATCTCTTCAATCCTATGAAGCAGAGTTTTTATAAAATGTAATTTAATGCTTTAACTCCTTCTTTAGAGATTGCTGTAATTTGAGTAATCACAAGAGCCCTTCATGTTGTTCTGTTCTGCATTTTAACTCTCTGTTTATGTTCTCTTGTCTGTCCATTACATGTTAACAGTTAATTTTTTTTTTTTTTTTTTTAAATATTAGAAATCACATTTGCTTATGAAGGTAATCTTCACTTTTTACTGCATAAAATTATAACAAAAAATTGTTTTGTTTGAATTAAAGTATTTTTATTTAAGTATTTTTGTTATTTCCCTATAATATGTTAGTTTACCAAAAATGAATTCATTTTGTAATTTCCATCTGTTGATCTTACATTCATTTAAATGCTGCAGAAAAGAGCATTTACCTATAGCCAGAACTTTTCTAAAAAATATTCTTTTAAAGATAGAATTATTAATAGTTTAGCTTTGCTCTTTTCTAGTTCAGAGTTTAGCTAACTAAGGATCATGGTCATTGTGGTTTATCGTATTTTTTGTAGAGCTTTTATAGTCATATATGTAGAATGTACTATTTGTAAAAAACATATTTGAGATTCATACTTTAAATGTTAATAGAGGAAATGCTAAATTTTAAGTGAATATTATAAAAATATGATAATGTACTGGGGGATCTTAAGAGCATATTAATACTATGTTCCTATATAAATAAGTAATGCCAACATTTTGTATATAAAAAAATGCAGTGCAATTCTTTTGGCAGAATTTTGAATGTTGTTTCCTGTATGTTCATAATTTGCAGTTTGCTTTTTGTTGCAGGATTGTAATTTGTTTTTGAAATACTTTTTTTTTTTTTTTTTTTAAAAAAAAGAAACACCATAAATGTTTAGCAATGCAAATTTTTAACAAATTAACATCTCTTCAGAATCAGAGTTGGAGGTTTTTAACTCATTAAAATGTCATATATGTGATTTATCATATTTTTGTAGAGTTTTTGTAGTCATATATGTGGAATGTACTATTTGTAAAAAGATATTTGAGATCTGTACTTAAAATGTTCATAGAGTAAATTCCAAATTTTAAGTGAATGTATTATACAAACATTATAATAAAGTATTTAGGGGATCTTAAGAGCATGTTAATACTTTGTTTCTATATAAATAAGTAATTAAAGTTTTATATATTTAAAAAATACAGAGCAATTCTTTTGCAAGTTTTTTGAAAATTATTTATGTCTGTTCATATTTTTTGTTTGCTTTTTGTTGTATGTTTGTTTGTAATTTGTTCTTGAAATATATATATATTTAAGAATTCTTAAATTTTAGTAATGCAAATTTTCATCAAATTAACATCACCTTTTTAATATTATCTTTGTGAACTGTATGCAAATTTTCGATTATTATTGAATTTTAGACCATATCATTACCTCTGATATGTTAAAAGATGTATAACAGAGATTGTCACAGAGATGGGGGAAAAAAAAAAAACAGTACAGTAGTCAATAGAGTTGATTGTTAAGTTTTAAGTAAATATACACTGAAGAGCCACTGAATTAGCCATAGACATGGGTATACAAAATATATATATTTGTAGCACTGTGCCGCATTTATGCTCTCGTGAGGGTGTTGGGGTAACTGCATATATAGCTAGTACTATATATGCAGTTACCCCAACACCCTCACATTAATCAGCCATTTCAAGTGCCAGCATGGGTAAAACATCTGATTTAGACACTTTGGACCGTGGACTGATAGTGGTGCTCGAGGCATGGGGCATTCGATTTCCAAATCATCAGAGAGTTGGAATTTTCATGGTCGACAGTGTCAAGACTATACTGAGAATACACGGATGATAGGGGGAAAACTAGCAATTGGGCAAATTGCAAAGGAAAATTAGTCTTGAAGGAGCATGGTCCGAGATGGCTCAGCGGTATTAAACATAGCCAATGAAGCCAAATATTAGTTCAAATTGCCACCCAGCTGAATTAGAGAATCAGTCATACAGTCAGTAAATGATTATGCAATGCTCACTTTATCGTGTGGGCTTCAGGAGCTGTAGACCTACGAGAGTACCATTTTTCAATTCATGCCATCAGAGCTGCCATCTTGCCTGGGCAACAGAATACAGAGAATAAACTTAAAAGGAGTAGTAGTGATGAGTCTCGATTTCGAATACTACTGGAGGATGAAAATATGGTGTCAGGCTCATGATGCCATGGATCCTGCATACCAGGTTGGAATTGTACAAGGACATGGCAGCTCAATAATGGTCTGGGGTGTTTGGGATTTTTGGTGCTTGTACTAACCTTCTTCAATACGATTTGGTATGTTGAGTTGCTAGGTGATTATCTGTATCCATTTATGCTGCCCTTCCATTTATGCCAAAATGGAGTATTCCAGCAAGATAACTGCACCTGTCTCAGATCCTGGTCGGATGAGCATTTCTATGACTTCTCTGTCATAAATTGGCTACCTAGAAGCCCTGACTAAAATCCTATTGAGCACCTTTGAGATGTTTTGGTTAAAAATGTAAAACCACATCACATAACATTAGCAACCCTTCCTGTATTATGGCCAGCTCTTGGATGTTTGGCAAGCAATTCCTGTAAAATGCTTCTGCAAACTTATTGAATCTATGCCTTGTCGTGTAGCAGCCATTTTTAAGGCCAGAGGAGGCCCAACTTGTTATTGACCTGCTGTCCATAATTCAGTGGCACTTCACTTCAGTGCATTACAAAAATAATATTATGATGAGTATTAACTTTGCGTAGTTAAAGAATTTTTATTGTATTTATTTAAAAGTCAGAGTATTTCATATTTGCGGAAGGGAGCTGATCTTGATTCTAATAGTTTGCCAATTTTTATAAAAGAAGAAAAATAAAATGATTGTTTCCTTTAACATTTTGCCTCAATTTTTTACAATTGTCTTGGGTAGCCTGCATTTCCAAAGGCATCACGTCGGGAAACTTGGGGTGGATCTTTGGATGAAGCGAGAATTAGAAATTTACTTACTCAAAAGAAAGCTAGGAAACAAACTTTACAACTGTCAATGTTAGAAGAAGAATCAGAAACAGAGACCAATTATTCAGGTAAAGTATGATATTTATTATAGCTCATGTGGTTTATCAAATTGATGTATTTTTAATAAAACTTCCATTTAAAATATTCTAAATATAACTCAAATTTCTCATCGTAATCACCTTCTCTGAATTCAGCATGAAAAATCTTCCCTATTCATATTGATAGATCATGTTTTTAATCTGAGATTATATTGTACTGTGCTGCGAGACAAGTGGTACATCAGTAGCTAAGATGGTATTAAAAAAATAAAGTTGATGGGATATTAGTACCATCCATATTATGATCGATTAAGGAAAATTTGGGAAAAAATATTTGATTTAATGAATAATCCTTCTGAAGTGGCATATGATCTCACTGGAGAATTAATGACTGATGGAGATATTGTGAAAATTCAAGGTAGATTTAAGTTACATCAGTGTATCCCAAAGAAGCAAAAAAGATAAGGAATACATCTCTATAAAATTTACAATAAACCATTTTATGCATGTCATATGGAGATATATTTAGGAAATGGTAAAAATAGCAAGCCACTCGGCTCTACATGTTTGCATTATCAAAGGGACAGAATGCATTGACGACAAGAGTTACAAATTTTACATAGAAAACTATTTTGCTCCATCAGATTTATTTTTAGATTTTCTAAATAAATATAATATAAACAGCTACAGAATAGTGCATTCCACCATTATTATTTAAAAATTATTATTAAACAATATTAATAAAAACATTTGGGAATGGCATTATTCAACAAAATTCCGGGAAGGTATAGCGGTTTCATGTTAGAAAGACAGAAATGATGTATTTTTGCTGACAACAGTTACAATCCTCCATCATATGAAATTCATGAATAATGCAAACCAGAAGAGTATCTAATGAACGAGAAATGTGTTGCAATTTCAGATTATAAGAGAATAAAAGATTTATAGATCTCAATGATTAAATAGCAAATTCACACATGTTTTGGTAGATAAATTCTAAGCAGGTCCAAAAAACTATTTTTTTTTTATTTCTTAGAATTTTGAGATGCAATTGGTATTTAACTTATTAATCTTTAACCAATATTGTGGAATACTGCCCTAAGGTTGTGACAGTTTTTAAACATGCAAATATGCTGTCGATAAGGTGAAAATAATTGGCAAGTCATGTGTACCATCTAATAGCAAGCAAACCAAAAGAAAGTAGTTTCCAATAGGCCATTTTAAAGTTAGATGTCTTGGAACTTTAAAAGATTTCTTCTATCGAAATGAGGAACAGAAATGGCAATCAACAACCTGATGGTGGCCACAACCAGGGTCTTCAAGTATCCTACATTTGGAAGAGTGACTAAGTTCGAGAGTTGCTAAAAGTAAACCTGGTGTCGTTTTTGAACCGTTATATTGTAAATAAGTGTGAAGGTCCTTGTTATTATATACCAGATCAAAAGTGCTGGAATTAAGTAATTCTTCAGTTGTCTCACCAGCACGGTTCTAATTGCTGTATCCCCAATAAGGGAAGTGTGCATTGAAATCCCCAATGAAGGCATCTACTTGAGACATCTTATGCAAGCTAAGAATGTATAGTCTGAATAGTGTGTTATATACATTCAGGCATAAACTTCAATGCAGGATCGGGGACTGCTATGTTAGTAGCTTTCTTATATTCTTCCTCCATACATTTAAACTCTAGGAATTAGTGAATCAGTGCTTGGACCTTTTCTTCAGTTTTCTCTGAAGAATTGGTTCACTTTCTGTTCTTCTTCATTTTGTGGCTCATTTTGTTTTCAGTTGTTGTCCTGTGATTTTTAGTACAAGAGGATTGTCTTCAGAATCTTCTAATATTTCTCTATTATCATTCATTTCTCTGAATACAACAATTGTTCAAAAGCATTAAGAATTTATACACAGAAATTCTAAACCAAGAATTCTTTCAAAATGCCATTTCTGCCATTTTGGGACAAAAATTTCAGATATTACTCTAAGCCAGTCATGTCTTAAACAATGCTAACAAAAGTAGCTCCAGCAGAAGTGTATTTATATCAACAATAAAAATGGCTCAAATGCACATATATTTTTGAACGAAAACATTTTTCACTTGTCAGGTGTGGCAGTCTTGAATGCTTTTCTGTTTTTCATATAGAATAATCATCAAAATGTAATGCATAAAAAGTTTCTGTGTTGCATATATTCGGGATATACTCTTAAAGATGGGGAGGGGAACAAATCTTAAAATGTTTGCTTTCTTTTTCAGTTATAAAAAATTCACAAATAAATTATGGACACAATGAATTTTAACCTAGCTCTCTTTCCGAAATATAAGTAGTTCATTGTTTGCTAAACTTGAGAAGAAAAAAAAAAGAACATATTATAAAATCTGTTGCATAAAATGCAGTGTAGAATTGTACATTGCTATGTGTTTTCAATTGCATCATCTGGGCAAAAGTAAGCTGAGAATAAAAGTATAAGCACTTTTTTTGCTAAATAATAATAATAATAATAATTCTATAAAAATTATAATAAAAAAGCATATGTATAATTGAAAAAGGAAACAAAAAATAAGTCATCAGAGCATAGCAAACATTAAACTTTAGGGGGGGGGAACAGCCCCCCCCCTCTAGATGGCAAAAGATTGTGACAAAAAGGTGATGATTTTATGGAAGAGTTATTTTTTTTTTTTTTTTTTTTTTTTTTTTTTTTTTGTGGCCTTTGTCTAATGCCTGGGCAAACAGGAGAGTGAATAAAAAATTATTTACAGCCAGGGGAGGGGAAAAAGTCATTATGCAGGGGAAAAATTATTCGAATGGAAGCAGACCCTTGGAACTAAGAACTGGATGATAAGCATTGAATTTCTTTTCCTCATTCTGGGACTTGGGAAAATTATAGTTTAAAGAGTTGTATGAATTAGAAGTGTATAACTGAGAAGCTATACATATGAGATGGGTAGGATTTTAAAAGAAGCTTTTCAAGTAAGGCAGGGGAAAATTTCAACCAATATTCAAGCTATTACAGTAACTGAACATACATTTTTTAATAGGGTAATTTCTAGAATGTACATATAATAAAAGAAAGAGTCTGTGTGCGTCTTTCGTTCGTGCTGCATGTAAGCTAATAGACCCAGGGCTACGAAATTTAGTAAATAGGTGCATCTAGACAAGAGCCAGTGCACCTCAAAGCATTTTTTTTTTTTTTTTTTTTCAAAATTCGAATCAATTTTTTTTAAAAAAAGTCTTATCTTTTTTGATGAAATTGCATCATTCTGATTAGTTTCATTTTTTTTAGAAATGTGGTTTTGGCAACACTTTTTCATTCAATGCTTTGCTTTGTATACTGACTTACTTTTTCATTCAATACAACACTTTTTCAATCAATGCTTTGCTTTGTACTTGACTGCTTCGCTTTGTATACTGCTGACTGTTGAAAATATGAGATAAAATGCTTCTTATTTTCTTTTGATTTTTGGACACGCAACACGCACATTGCAATTTTCTTATTCTGACGCTCTTGTGTCTTGTGAGGCACAACAGAAAGTTTTTTTTTTTTTTGTTTGTTTCTCTCTCTCTTTTTATTAGCTAATGGCAAAGAAGTTTGTATATTTTTTATTATGTCATCCACAAAGCACAATTTTGACTGGTTATTGCTTTCTAATGATAGTTTCATTCTTTTAGAAATGTGGTTTTGGCAACAGCTTTTCATTCATTGCTTTGAATACTGGACTGCTGACTTATTTCTCTTGAAAATATGAGATTTATTGCTTATTTCATTGTAATTTTTTTATATTACATTTCAATTATATATAATTTCAATTATATTAAAAGTTTTGCATGTTTTTTTTAACAAAGTTTTTTAACTTCCTTTATACCATTTGAATTAAGATTTTGAAACAGGAAGTTGGTTAATTTATTTATTAGGATATTAATATTTGTATCAAGAGATACTGCTTATTTGATTGTACTTATTTAATATGTAATATATTTTTATTGAAATTTGTGTTTTTAAATGTTTGATAAATCTGTTCTGCAGAGTAAAATACTGTGCAGTTTTTAAATTTAATGTTTGGTGTTCCCTTTAAGCATTTTTCTGGTACATTTAAAAGCCAGATGAAGGCTGGCCACTTAGTGGCTACTATCTGAATAAAATTAATCATTTTTTTTATTCGCACTGTTGAAGAGGGTTTATTATCTAATAAAACTTTCCCTGCTCATGCAGTAATATGCAACATGTAAAAATTATTACTAAGAGATTTAAATCTAAATCTGAACTTAATTTTGTATGAAATATTTAATTTTGAGGAAGTATAATGTTTGTTGTTCAAGAATTCAAATTTTTATTTTCAGACAATGAAGATATTTGTGATCCTTTCTTTCCTATCCCAAGAGATATGAAAGATACTGAAGTTCAAACAGAGGTAATTTTATATCTTCCTGAGCAGAAAGCTGTTGAAGATGCTAAAATTCAGTGTCAGGTAATCTTAACATTGCATCTTTTGTTAATTTGGGTCATTTAATTACTTTAAGTAATATAGTTTAGTGTATTACTGCTCCTATCATCATAAATTTATTTTAAATATTGATTTCCAGTTGCCAGTATGTAACCTGTGTGAAGCCAGAAAAATGTAAGACATTTTTATTTAGATTGTTTGTTCTTGCAAATATTAATATTTAGTTGAAACCTCATAGATACTTGGAAAATATTATATTTATGTATGAACTGAATTTTTTTTTAGCACATTTGACTTTTGAATCACCCAGTTTAAAGACTTTTGAAGGTATAAATTAACATGATAGTATCTTCCCCCCTACCCATTTTCGATTGAATACAGTCTAGTAATAGTCTGTTCTCTGTGTGTTTCAGTCTCTAATTATTAGTAAACAAGAAATTGAACAAAATTAAAATTAGAAACATAGATTGATGTATCACTTCTAATAAAATTAGAAAATTAAAAAAAAATTAATAAATGTTTATATGAATAATATTTTTATACTGCTGTTTTATATAACAATTAGAATTACTTAGTAAAATTTTTAGGGGGTTAAAAAAAGGAAAGTTGTCTTGATGTCTTTTCCAAAGTTTTAAGAAAAGTATTAGAATGTGTTGTGCATAATAAAATATAAGAAAGGAAAATGTTTATTTTATTTATTTATTTATTTATTTTACCAAAAGTGTTAAATCAGATTATGTGCACCTCATGGAAAGCAAATTTAAATGGTAAAATTTAAAATGAAAATCCCTTATTCCTACTAAATAGGAGATGGAGTAAGAACGAGGAGAGTGATTATGATGTATTACTGACAGCCCACACTATTTTACTGCCAACACTATGGGTCTAGTGGCCAATGATATAACTGGGCGTATTCTGTGTTCCTTTTCTTTAGATCCTCATTTGTTGTTATGCTTATTATAGGATCCAGCCCAGCAGCAGCAAAATGAGTTGCTGAACACTGGTAGTTCAGCCCAAGTTCTAATACCAGAGAATGGGTTGATTGCATGGGAATTTTCAGGGTTTTCTCTATGTGTAACATGAATATGAACCAGTTTCTTTGAAAACTCCTTTACAATTGTATTCTCTTTCTCTAGGCAGATAGCCATTGTGTGCTTTTCTATAATACAATAATCCAATCCCGTTAATTTATTCTAGTGCGAATATTGACTCATCCATGAACTCTAGACATTGGATCATTCAGCTGCTTTCCCATCTGCATGTTGATCAGTTAGCTTTAGAAGTGCTCATCTGGCTTTCATACATAATGAGAGACAAATTCTTCATACCTTGGCATGTAGTCCATCCGTACATAGTCTTTGCTACAAAGATGTCACAGATAAGGCCGTTCCTAGTGGAGGGTAAAGATGATGCACAGCATGTGAGCAGCCAATTTTAAGTTTGGTGAAATTATTATCAAATTTATTTCTGTAAAAAAAGGTGGCAGGCAGTCTAGGACCATCCCTAGTCACAGATATGAATCTTTCAGTTGATGCAGTTGATTCATTAGTTGTACTTGGCAAATAAAGACATGTACTTATTATTAGAAGATGTGATAACCTTTGGATGATCAAAGAAAGGTCTCCAGACAACTGACTCACTTATCTGAAATTATTTCAATAGATCTGAAGTTATAGAATGGTTGAAAATTAAAGAAAATAGCAACATTGACCTGCTTCAAGCCAGTCAAGAACATGCCAACGCTGAAAACCATCCAGTTGTCTTTCAGTTGGAATTCATCTGATTTAATAAAAAAGTAGTCAAATTGTCTTTCAAAAAATTTTTATCAACAGTAAAGCCCATGTACTCAAAAGCTTCAAAAAGATGTCATTTTTAATCAGTGTGTACTTAGCATATTATTCAGAGTAAAATTTAATTTATTACACCATGATATATACATATTTCTTTCTACATCCACTGTGAATTTCATTTGATAAATTGAAATGTTTTGAAGCTTAAAGCTTGCATAGTGTGCTTAACTTTGAAAAGAAGTGTATATAAAATTATTTGCAAACAGTTTATCTTTTATATATGTAATAACATAATCTTGTAATATGTAATAGGAAAGAACAAAATGAGAGATTAAAAAGTGAACTTGGAGGACTGAAAGAATTTACAACATTAGAAAGACAGATTTTTTCAGCTGAAAGTCAACTATCTAAAGATTTGGATCAGTCAACTATCTAAAGATTTGCTACAAAGATGTCACAGATAAGGCCGTTCCTAGTGGAGGGTAAAGATGATGCACAGCATGTGAGCAGCCAATTTTAAGTTTGGTGAAATTATTATCAAATTTATTTCTGTAAAAAAAGGTGGCAGGCAGTCTAGGACCATCCCTAGTCACAGATATGAATCTTTCAGTTGATGCAGTTGATTCATTAGTTGTACTTGGCAAATAAAGACATGTACTTATTATTAGAAGATGTGATAACCTTTGGATGATCAAAGAAAGGTCTCCAGACAACTGACTCACTTATCTGAAATTATTTCAATAGATCTGAAGTTATAGAATGGTTGAAAATTAAAGAAAATAGCAACATTGACCTGCTTCAAGCCAGTCAAGAACATGCCAACGCTGAAAACCATCCAGTTGTCTTTCAGTTGGAATTCATCTGATTTAATAAAAAAGTAGTCAAAATTGTCTTTCAAAAAATTTTTATCAACAGTAAAGCCCATGTACTCAAAAGCTTCAAAAAGATGTCATTTTTAATCAGTGTGTACTTAGCATATTATTCAGAGTAAAATTTAATTTATTACACCATATGATATTTACATATTTCTTTCTACATCCACTGTGAATTTCATTTGATAAAATTGAAATGTTTTGAAGCTTAAAGCTTGCATAGTGTGCTTAACTTTTGAAAAGAAGTGTATATAAAATTATTTTGCAAACAGTTTATCTTTTATATATGTAATAACATAATCTTGTAATATGTAATAGGAAAGAACAAAATGAGAGATTAAAAAGTGAACTTGGAGGACTGAAAGAATTTACAACATTAGAAAGACAGATTTTTTCAGCTGAAAGTCAACTATCTAAAGATTTGGAAGTTAGTATTTTACATTTATTATAATTGAGTAGAATGTAACACGTCACCTCTAATGAAGGATCAGAATTATGAATATTAATTCTATTGATCTCTTTTTTAACAACTGATAAATAAAACTAGAAATGCTTATTAATCACTGAGTTATGAAAATACTCCAATTAATCAAGATATTTAAATTGTATGCAATGTACAGAGATCTGTCAAAATTTTCTTATCCAAGTTATTTTTATTAATTTATTTTTAAATTAGTTAACTTCATGAATATCACTGATGATTCTTATAGGAAAGAAAGATTGTTTTCTCATAAAAATAAATTAATCACATATCATTCTTGATTATCAAATTAGATGAATCACGTTTTTAAAATCAGATATTTTGGTCTATCAGCTAAAAAAATTATTTTGGCCTGTTATTACTAAAGATTATTTTAGGCCAGAGTCCATTTAGTCTAATAGCTGAAATATTTATTTTGGCCTGTTATTACTAAAGATTATTTTAGGCCAGAGTCCATTTAGTCTAATAGCTGAAATATTTATTTTGGCCTAGACTTTAAATTTGGCAGACTTAAAATTTTCTTTCTTTCTTTCTTAATTTTATTTTACAATAGTATGTATCTCTTCCATATACATAAAATGAATTCTAAGCTTATAATAAATGCAGTACATTTATTATTATTATTGCAGTACAGGAAGTCTGAAATCCAGACATCCAGTATTCAGAATGATCTAAAATCAAGACCTTCAGATCACTAGCAGCATTTTTTTAAATGCTTTATGCCTGTGCATTTGATATTTTTTCATAAAACATGTGAAGAGTCTCGACTCTTAATATACCTTCAACATTGATGCCAGCCTGGTGAATCATTATTTATTATTTATTGCTTTCATCACCATATGACTATCAACACATGACAGCTTGAGATATGACTCATGCAGTAATGCCTACAAAATTATTTTTTAAAAATATTATTAATTGAATACCAGAGAGTATAGTAACCTTTTATGCTAGCATTATACTTAGCAATGATTACAAACTTCAGCTAACTCTGTTGAGTTTGTTGACAAGGAGCAATTTAACAGAAATTTCTTTCCATATGATATAAATATAGATTTTGTAAATTATGCTCATATGCCAGAGCAGGTGCGATTGCACTGATTGGCAGAATTTTGGGAAGGCAGAGTTTTTTGAATTTAAAGAAGGATGCAAAATTTTTAGAATTGAGGAAGGTGCTTGGCAGCAATTCGGGATCTGAAGAGACTGTACTGGGACACAAAATAACTGGCATTGGTCCTGGATAAGTTGTAAGTATATGTGCAAATTTATTTATTCAGAACTCGGATAAACTTTAGACTGCCTGGTGGTGAAGAGGCTAGAGTGTTGTGCAGTTGCACCACAGGTCCGAGGTTCGATCCTTGGGCTGAGCAAGGTTGACTCAGTCTTTCATTCCTTGAATGGGTTGATAAAATGAGTACCAAGTTCTCTTGGGGACTAAACACCGGAGGTCCTGCAACAAGCTGACCAGTTGCCCAGGACATATGCTGATACACTCCAGGGCCCAAGGTCAAGAAAGCAGATTTTTGGGCACTGCAGGCTGTGGCCCACTAGGGCTGTTGCGCCGCTGAGTTTAGTTTTCAGATAAACCTTAAGCATGAGCGGAAATAGATTCAAGTATAATAATAATAAATAACTAATATAATTCAGGCTTAACTTCAAGCAGCATGAGCTAAAATCAAGACAAAATTGAGCAGAACATGTTATTTGCCAGTAGTGTACAGTAGGTGCTAGCTAAGCTTTATGATGGCAGTTGCGAATTTGGTGACTCAGATATTGCAAAAAGAGCAAAATTTTGCAATTGATGGAATTTGTGAAGAAATGGGGAGATTTAAAGTTTTAATAGATAAAGATGATATAACAGAAGTTTTTCATAGCAATGACAATGCCCCAATCATTGATTAACTAATAGGCTGTGAAATCTGTAGTATGGTTCTAAATTCAGAAAATTTCTCTACCAGTAGTAAAGAAAATGATACAGAGGTTGCTGAGAATGACAAAAATTTTGATTGACAATTTAGTGGAGATTCTCTTTGCTGCAATTACAGGACTTGAACAATGGAACTTTGTAACTGAATAGGAAATTATGTCTGTCTATTGAATTAAAGACAAAATATTAGCACAAAAAATAAATTATAAAAAAACTTGCATTGAAAGAAACATTTTATACAGGAAACAAATGGAGATTTTTTTTTTTTTTTTTTTGTAAATTTTGATCCCCTTAAGGTTATAAATACTCGTTATTTTACAAATCACTATTTCATATTTTTTATTTTATAATTTCTGTATGTTGTCATACTTGATTTAAACTGATGGTCTAATGTACAGGAAAATCGAAAATCCCAAATCTGGAAGTCTTGACGAGTCTGGGTCTTGGAATTTGTACTGTACAAGTTAATGTATGTGTATTTTAATAAAAATTAAATTAAGCTTATTTCAACAAGATTTTCTGATCTTAATCACAAATAAAATTTATGTATTACTGATGGATTATATTAATTCTGATACTGAACAATGTTTTGCTCATTTTACTTGGAAATTGCTAATATTTATTTTTGTCACGATTTTTGTCGAGTTTAATTTATGATACTTATTAGATGCTTGCAGAGTAATAATTAATTCTGTAGGATTAAAAATATAAAATGGAATTATATTTTCTCTCTCCTAACAATTTTAGTGAAACTTCTCGTTTAACCCTTTAAAGACAGCACCCCAGTCTCATGTCCTGCCATATGAGATGGGGTGCTGAGCTTCCACAATGTCTCCACAGGATGGCAGGTGTTCACTCGCTAAGCCTAATTTTGCTAAAAAATATTTGGAAAAAATACATTTTTATTCCAATTAACTCAATTTTTTAAAAATATTAAACAAAATGAATTTACCCTTATTCTTGCTGAATTATAGAATTAAATAACTATAATCTTTGCAGTTGTAATTGTATATATAGACAATGAAAGAGGGATTTTAAAACAAACTTTCAGAATTTGTTAAACTACAATTAAAATATTTAATATAAACAACCTACACAGGCCATCATCTACGCATGCATATATATATATATATACTTATAATGAAATTTTAAAAAACTCATGAATGCTTTAATTCATTTGCATATTTGCATATAAACAAACAAAATCTCAAATTTTCAGAAAACTGAGTATGATAAATTAAGTAATAATTTTTAGTTATAATATAAATAAACCTTTTAACAAAAATACATTACTTTTATTATATAGTCTGATTGATGAAATGGATTTATGCCATTACTGAAGCTAATATTACATTTTTTGTGTGTATGTCAGCACTATTTTTTATAGTAAAAATTTATCATAAATCACTGCTAATGTTTCATTTTAGGCAAAAAAAGGCAAGGAGAAATCGTAATTTCTTCTTGCCTCTTTTTCTTTTTTTTCTTTTTTTCTTTTTTCTTTTTCTTTTTTTTTTTTTTTTTTTTTTTTTTTTTTTTTTTTTTGTGTGTGTGTGGTTGTGTGTGTGTGTGTGTGTGATGACTTTTAAAATTTAATTTTTGTTTATGTGGCTGACTAGTGTAGGGAATTTATTAACCCAGCTTTACAGACATTTGCTTCCAAATTAAAGACATTTTGCAAATGGCTTGTTTGCATTCTACATAATGAGCGTTAGTGAATAAGGAAAGATTCTTAGAAATAGCACTTTAACAACTTTTCTTGTATTAAAACAGAAGTCATGGCGAAGAAAAGAGAGTTCAAGAAGGAGCAATTTCTTTCAATAAATAAAAATCAGTTGCATATGTGCAAAATGTACTGGGAGAATTAATGTAGAGATTCAGTTTAGAGCAAATTTTACTGATCTTTCATTACAGCATGTGTATTTATTTTTTGTATCAAAGCATAAAAAATACTTTAAACTAACTTCATTGGCAGTTCCCTCCTCACAAAAGTGCTTTCAGCTGCTTTATCACAGAGTTCATTACTTTTTTTATCATTTATATTTTTATCATTTATTTTCTTCCTTTTTCTCTACATGTTCTCCTTGTTCTGGCAATTTTTTTAACATATAATTGTGTTTAAAAATCATAATAGTTCTATGTACAATAAATTTTATTTAAATAACTCTTAAGGTATGATAATATTCTAGGTAGTTATTTGTTTTAACAATCCAAATTTAATGTAAAATTGAGAAAAGAATATGCATACAATATTTAAAAGAACATGTTCTATAGTCTGCAAATTTCACTAAATTGCATAAACTCTGGTGTCAAGAAATGTAGATTAGCGCAATTTGAATGCATATTTGATGCCAGAATGTTTGAAAAATTCAGACAACATCTGCTATATAATTGACACATAACTGATTATTTTAGTATTACTAAAATAAATTACTAAAATAAATTAGAAAAAAAAATAGAAATAAATGCATTCAAAGTTATAGAATTAGATTATTTTAGTTGCATTATCTCTATTTAGTATCTGACGAGTATTAAAATCGTCTAATAACTGAGTAGCTAAAGCAACAATATATCATTTTACTGTTGAACTTCTGCTGCTGAAAATGCTGGTGGCATGTTGATTTTGTGATTTTCCCACATGTATTGTAAATATGAACTGCTTTCTTTTAAAAAGTAGTATCTTTAACAGATTGCAATTTCATAACAAATCCTTCCAGTCATGTGATAGCAACGGTCTACTTGTACAGAAGTAATTTATTTATACTTGCTTGAGTATTTGTTCATTTTCATGAACTTAATCATTTATCACACTAAAGACTGAAATTACTATGGTCAGTGTATATATAATAGGCATCGCTTAATGTGATCATGGCTAGTGTTATCATTCAAACATTGTTAATGAATTGCCGAAGTCTCAACCATTTGTATATGAAAACGTAGAATGTACATTGCTGTTTGTGATTCAGTTAATATGATCAAAATATTATAGAATGAATTTTTAACTGAAGTAAAATTACCAAGTAAGGTCAAAATATGATATAAAAATTGCTAAATGACAAAAGCATCACCCATTAAAACATAGGTCACCAAGTAGTTTTTCAGAGTTGATAACTCTCTCCATTTCCGACTATACTTCCGTTAATCTGATTTCCACATATTTTCCCCCACTTTCTCTTATTTTTTTAATTTCTCACGATTTTTACGTAGTTTGGTTAGTTGCACCCAAAAAGTGATTTTTGGCGTCTGAAAGCGCTTTTCTTTTCTAGATACATTTACAAGGAAACCAAAGTCATTTCATCAGTGATTTGAAGTGCATTCTGCTTTGTGTGTGAGAGTCTGAAACACATGTCCAAAAACATCATGTTCCAGTTCTTCAATGGGATTCAAACGCTGCTGTGGGGCATCTAGCATATAACCAATAAGCACAAAGCAAAATCGAGTTTTTTTTTTTTTTTTTTTTTTTTTTTTTTTTTTTTTTTTTTTTTAATCTCACCAGTGAAGAACCTAAGTTTTATGTGCTTCCCAGAAACAGTTTAAGAAACTTCGATCTTTTGTCTGCGAAAAATATAAAATACTCATGTACTTTTCAAAAATCATGCCGTGATGACTTTCCTTCTATTATTTCGTCAAAGAAATGTAATATTGTAATGTGTACCATTTGTAATTGTGATTTTTCGATTTCTCATGGTGGAAGGGCCATTGTTCTTAAAAATACGTGTACACAAGGACAATAGGAGTTGTTCTTGGGGGGGGATAATAATAATAATAATTTTTATGTGGAAACAAAGGACCAAAAAGCTGTTAATGCAGAATGCCTGTTCTCTACCTTTTTACTGGAATACAACCTGCCACTAAATGCATTGGATCATCCTGCAGCGTTTTTAGAAAAATGTTTCCTGGCAGCAAATTCGTTAAGAAATACTCAGGTGCAAGGACAAAAACGGCTGCAAATGTAGAAGACATCGGTTCAAAAATAGGTATAAAAAATAAATCTTCAGTTATTGATTGCATTAAAACAGTTCTATTCTGCCTCTCTATGGAAGCAATAATACTTCTGCAACACAGTATCCAATAATAGTTTCTTTCTTTTTTTTTTTTTAAATCCAGAGTCTTCAGAAATTGAGTGTAGTTTACTTTCTGTGCCCACTTTAGAAAGAGATTCAACAGACTTTAATATATAGCACAGCTGATTATTAAAACTTTAAAAGAAAGTGCAGTTCTTCAGGATAATTGCTTAGCTCTTAGTGCTGACAATGCACTAGGAATGATAGCCTTGAAAGCTGATGTTGCAGGCATCTTATAAAATTCATAATTCCAAATTATGAAATACATCTGTCACCTCTTAAATTTAGCAGTGTAAAAAGGGTCAATTTCTTTGCCAATAAATGTGGATGAACATATTGTAGATATTTATTATTATCTTTGAAAGCTTGCTGAAAGGAAGGGAAAATTGAAATAATTCCAACAACTGCACAATACTAAAATAAGAAAATATCTGAAATATGTATTTCTACACGCTGGTTATCTTTAGAGAAATGCTTGTCTAGAATCCTCAACAAAAGTGTAACATAAAATGTTCTTATATTTTTTATGAGAGAAGTAAATGCTTCTAGAGTTAAGATAAAAGACTCTGTTCTCTCTAGAGTTAAGTAAATGGAGATGTGGTTATTACTTCCACTGTTAAAATTAGGTGTGTTGAAAATTGAGTAATTTCTGCACCTACAAGCAATTTAATTGGCAATTTTCAAAATAATACTACAAAATTAAGCATAAAGCTCTCGCAAAATAAAATAAAATAAAGTCTGATAAGGTACATGTTTTCCTTTTTTGTACACCCCATTTTGCCATCATTTGATGTTCTTAATGCAATTCTACAGTGCAGAATTACATTAATTCATATTTTCCAGTCAATGATTAGTGATCTGATTAAAGTACTATTTAATGAGTAGGGATCCTAATTACAATATTTTTCTATTATTAGAAATTACATGTAATAAAACTTTTTTTAATGTATGTATTTTTACATTATTTGCATTTAAGAAATAATAACTGAACTTTCTTATATTAGACACTATTTAAAGTTAATTCATTATTTAAAGTAAATTTTTTTCCTACGTATTTTTATTACTTAAAAATCTTCTTATCATTGAAAAAAATCTCCTGTTTTTTGAGTGTTGGAGGTTGGCAAGTATGGTTTTGTTTTGATATAAGTCAACCCACTACAAAAGAGTTGTTTTTCAAGTCTTATGATGATTCAAGTTTTACAGATTAATAAATTTAACAGAGCTGGAGTTTTAGATGACTTTGAGCTAAGAAATCTGATTGCTATGTGATAGAAAATACTGAATATTTTATCTTGTCTTTTTATCATTTATAATCTCTGTTACTTTTTTTAAAGGTATCAAGACAAGCAAAATGTGCGATGATTTTGAGTCTAATTAATAAAAGTCAATGCATCAGATTGTTATGACCAATTCCCAAAAATGAATGCTGCTTAAAAAGTGCCCACAAAAACAGGGAAAGGTAATATTGCAGCAACAGATTGTTGGTTGAGCTTATGGAAGAAAAGAAATAAAATATTGCTTTCAAATGCGTTAATGGTGAAGATAAATACATTGTTGGAACATGGTTGTCAAAAGAATGGCCAAACATCTATCTACATCATTACAAACATCTTTAATGAAATAAAAAGTAAAGAAAATAAAAGGTTAATTATATTATTATAGTAAGAATTGAAATAAAATGTGGCCTTTTCTTGTGTAACTATATCAGACAAGGCCACATTTTATTCTTGCTTTTATTATTTGCCATTGAAATTTAAACATTTTTAAAAATTTTTACGTTTTGTTGCATATTTTCTGAATTACAGCTTTTAATTTAAATTAATTAAAATCATTTTAAATGTTCCACATCCTGACAAGAGTGTGTTTAAAGCAATCTTTATTATTCTAAAATATCACTAATCTTTTATTTCATTTACTTTTTATTTTATTAAAAAGGTTTATAAAATAGTAAGTGGTTCTCAACCTGTTTTAATGCAAGCATCCCTTCCTCCATTGCTTAGAAGATCATCTCTCCCTCTTTCCCAAATTACTCATATGTATACTTTAGATTATTTTTAACATGTTTTATAAATTAAACAAAAAGTATAGAAAATGTCGATAATTATCAAAATTTGAATAAAAGTATTTTTTATGTTCATAAACTAAAAGTAGTACTTAACAGCTAAAAAAAGGCTGACCATTCTTCCTTGAAACTATGAAATTCTTTTCGAGGAAGAATGGCCCCAGCTGAGAAGCTATGTTTTAGATGGATTGTATCTTTATAGTTTTTTTTTTTTTTTTTTTTTTTTTTTTTTTTGGGTCACTTCAAGTTACTTTATTTATAATTATTGGTTTCTTGAGGAGGTTTTAAAGTTAATTTTTTTTCATTATATATGGTCTATCATTACCATTATATATATTATAATTCATTACATATGGTGATCATTTCAGTATATGTTTATTCAGACCATATGTTATATTCAGTTTTGGTATAATGAATAGGGCACAAAAAACATCAGGATTCCTAATGCAAAATCTGTGGTAAAAACATTGACAATAATTTAAGGGCTGTTCTAGAATTCTCAGACAAATCAATGTGTGCAAAAACAAAATTCATATAAAAATTACCTCATATACAAGAAAAATGCAAAAAATAAAAGCCAGTTTATTAAAATAAAATGTAAAATATTTGAATTTTATATTTTGCATCTCCCTTTTTTTAAATTGTGCATATTGAGTTGATATTGTATATTTCTAATTGTATTTTGACTTATATTCTATTTATGCTGGCAGTAAAATTTTTGTTTTTGCTTTTGCGTTGGGTATTATTTGAATTTGTTGGGGTATTTTTCTATTGAATTTTTCTTTGTAAATTTTGATTTTTGAATCTTATCCATGAGGAATCCAAAATGTTTTTAAAACATTTTACTTTAAAATATATGTGTACAAAATTATTGGATATAAATATTTAATTGGTTAGTATTTTTTGTATATGCTAGAATAAATTTTTAAAAGCATATATATTAAAGTACTTTATTTTCTCATTTTTATAGGCTTCCAGAAATGAAGTTGTGATGTTGAGAGAAAGACTTTCAAAAGATTCAAATTCTATTTCTATTCACAAAAGCTTTGATAATATTTCTTTTAATGGATGTAATTCCTTTTATTCTGAAGCTTTGATACATGACTATGAAAAAACACAGAACTTTCATGTTTCTAATGTAGTTAATGATGCATTTTCCAATTCAAAAAATATTTCTACAAATATTAACTCTGAAGAAACAAAACATTCTTCTGAAGACCAAATTTCAAATTATTTGGTAGACATGCATAGCATGAAGAGCCTAAGCTCTCTTGCAGAAAATGATGCTAAAGATGCAAGCAGTTTTATTTGTGTCTGTGCTAAGCAGAAAACTACAACTTTTATACCTACTGATTTACCTAAATTAAACATTTCATGTCAGACAGAAATTTATGAAGATGTAGAAGATGGACATTCTGTGAATTTTGAGGTAGCTGTTTTTGTGAATGAAATGACAGAATTAGCAGCACATTTATCAGAAATAGTAGAAAAAATCACTCATTTTCGATTCTCGGAAAATATTGATGAGATTTATGAAGAAAAAGATTCAACCCTTAATTCTGTTAGGAAGAAAATTCATGTTATGAAGGAACAACTGACTATACTTGATTCTGATATTAGGTTAAAAGCTGAATCTTTTGATTACTTAAATAATACTTTCAAACCCAAGATGACTGAAGTTCTGTCAATGCAAACACAACTTGTTGAAACCCAAACAGTTTTGAAAGAAAAGGAATGCCTTTTACTTGATATGCAAAATGATTTATATAGTCTCAGGCAGAAAATGAGTTTGTTGAAGTCAATGTATAAGCATACATTATCTCCAAATCCGGATTCTGAAGCTGAATCTGTTCATGAAGAAAAGGAATGTATCTCTGATAAAACTTCGTTAAGTCGTATACATGATATAGCAACTATGGAAAGAATACTTTTAGAATTAGAATCATATTTTATTAGAAATAATGCTACAGTTTCTGAGTTATCTTCTAAGTTAATAGAAGCTGAAGCAGAGGTTTCCATTCTTCAAGCCATGACTAGTGAGTTTCAAAATGTAGAAATCTTGAAATTCAATAGATACACACAGACATCTGAAAACTACCAAATAGAAAATCATGCAGAGCTTAACAGATTTAAATCTAAAGCAGAAACATTTGAAAATGAGGTTATATGTTTACAAACTGAAATTAAAATATTGAATGACGCAAAACTAGCTTTGGAGCAGGAACTTGAAGATGCCAAATTGCTTTATAGTAGTCAGGTTAATTCTCTGCAATCTGAGTATGAAATTCACAAAAATATCTGGCATTCTAAAACTGCTGAATTTGTGAAAAGTTTGGAGGATGAACACAGACAAGAGATAGCTGATATTGAAAATAAATGTTCTAATTATATTAGTGAAAAAACTAAAGAACTGAAAAAACAAGTAATCTTGCTAGAATCTGAAAAAGAGGAATTAAAAAAGATGTTGAATAATTTGAAAACAGTTTTTGAAGATCAGGTATCTATGCTTAAAATAGATAAAGAAAAAAATATGGTAGATTTTCAAGCAAGATTGTCAAATGAAATAACTGAAAAAGAAAATCTGAAGCATCAAATCAGTGAAAAAGAAAATAAGCTTAATCTATTACGAATAAAATGTCAAAATGCAGATGATTTAAATGCCCAATTAACTCAAAAATTAAATCAAGACACCAATGAAATCCAAAAATTGAAGGAAATTCTTTCAAATATGATGAAAAGTCATTCAGACGAACCAAGAAGTTTGTTACATACACAAACAAAGGAAAATAAAACAAGTGCATGTGAAAACTGTAACATCCTTTCACAACAGACACCTACATCTGAATCAGATCTAAATAAAAAAAATGCCAAGATAAATTTATTGCAGACTGACAATAGGAATTTGATGCGGGAATTGGAGATTTTAAAAAAAGAAGTTACAGCAAAAACTGCTTTATTACGTATTTGTAAATGCAACAACATTCCCAAAATAAAAGGATCTGAACCTTCTAGGATGGAAAGTTCTTCAAAGATTCATATCTCAGTATGTGCAATTATTTATTATGCTTGCCTGTTTGTATAAAAAACTATTTTTTTCTGTTAAAAGACTTAGGAGTATGTAGAATATTTGTCTGTCACTGATACATTAGTTTGGGAGATTGATAGTTGACAATTGTTTTAATGTATATTTCAAATAATTCACTTTTAATAAAGGTAAAATACTGCATACAGTTAAAGTATTGTGGGCATTCTGTATAGGAAATATAACTCCTCATCCCAAGTGTTTTATCTTGTTAATATTTAAAAATATTGGTGCATTACAAATATCAGCACACAAAACTCGAAAACTGAATTTTTTATTTTATTTTAGCATGCTACAAAGGTACCCTAAATGTAAGATTTATATTTGGTAACATGGTTTCAGCTAAGTTTAGATGTTCTTTGCTGATGCTAAAATCTTTGTTACAGTTTGAGACTACCAATCTCAGATTGAACAATTCCCCCCTTAACAGAAGTACCCAAAGGAGTTAAGAAACCCTGCTATAGCATATTAAAATTTAAAATAATAAATATGCAAAAGGATATTATGTACTCGTAAAAAGCTAGGGTGAAACCCAGCATGAAGAGTTACACAAATAATTAGCAATGATATTATAATTCTCTTTCACTGCACATGAAGCAAGTGCATAGTGAATTTTACAATACAGTCAAAAGTCGTTAATTCGGACACCCGTAATCCGGAATGATCTATAATCCGGACCTCAAAGCTAAAATCTTTCTGCGCATGCGCCGCATTGACGCATGCGCATAGGCGTTTTACTCGTGCGCGCAAGACATTTACCACTGCGCATATGCATCTGCGCAAGTGCAGAATACGTTTTCGCGTGCGCGTTTAATGTATAAACGGACGGTATAAAAGCTAAAATTATCTAATTATCTATTTCAGTTAATGTTGATAATTGCGTTGTTCCTTAATCTTCGAATTGGATCCGGCTTATTATTTTTTTGCAGACTGTAAGAGCAATTTTATAAAAGTAAGCTTGAACTTTCGATTATGTCAAATAGAATTTCCGATGCTGGAGCTCCCAAAGGGATCTAGAAAACGAAAGTATGTTTCGATGTCCATCAAAACAAAAAACGAATTGCTACAAAAAATGGATAAAGGCAATCTGTTTATCAATTTCACGCTTGCTTCGCGGCGCGCAATGAACTGGAAGTTGATCTGTCAACACTATCGTTATCTTCAGGGCAGAGCAGATGTTTTTATTTTATTTGTCGGCTTATAATTCCTTACTAAATGTAGTATTTAATCTCGATGTACTCCGTCTTTGATATGATTTAAATCAAATTCCTCGTCATTATAAATATCACGAATACAAATCAAATAGTTTTCTGGTTGCAATTTTCTAATTTCGGCTATGCGTAAGGTATGCTTTACGCATCCGCGCGTTAAAAGAAATGTTTAATAAAGTAAACAATAAATATTAGGCTTCTTTTTTGGTAAATTTTGATACCCTTTAGATCATAATTGCTCATTATTTTATAAATTACGGTTTCATATTTTTAATTTTATAATTTCTGCATGCCATCTTACCAGATTTAAACTGATGATCTATAATTCGGAAAAATCGATAATCCGGAATCGCCGAAGTCCCGACGAGTCCGGATTAAAGACTTTTGACTGTAGTTGGATTATCTTCTATGAATACTGCTATTTGTGTGCAAAATGTCTTTAAAATACATTTGATGGCATCGCTTTAGCACCACCTTTGCAAATGTCAACCCAATTTCTCCATTGCAAACTTTCTTCAATCCAAAATTCATTAACTTTTACTAGTATGTCCTCTCCTCTTGTGTGTCTATCCAAAGAGCGACACAACAAAAATTCCTCATGAATACATCCTTCAAAAATATTTCTAACATACATTACTAATTGAGCCAAGTTGATATATAAGTTGATTCATCCTACTGGATTGCAAACTTAGGATTTATGTTGTTTATTTTGAGTCTAAGTTATTAGCTGCAGACATTGATCTTTATTAATTTCCAAAATTCCCTTTGAAACAGTTTCATTGGATAGTGGAATTTTACGGATTTCAGCCGCATACTTTTTGCCATGAACTATTTCAGACATCTTAATAGCAGTTGGCAATATTAGACTTTCTCCAATGGAATAGACCTTTTTATTTTTTGCAATTAAATATGATGCTTCATAAGATGCAAGTAAGTACTTTTCATTCACAAAGTTCTCAAAGCCAAATTTTTGCTGATTTGATGATTTCAAAAGTCGTTCAAAGTATTCTTTGGGTTTCTTCCAGTGGGTAGTATGCTTTGTATTGAGATGTTGCTTTAATTTAGCAGGTTTCATGCTTTCGATAGCCAAAACTTATTACAATTTAAGCATAATGGCTTTTCAATTCCATCATAATTACAAGAAGTAAAACCAAATTCTAAATAGGATTCATCATATTTCTGTTTTCTTTGCATTTTAACTGTGCTCGTGCTAGGTACTGGAGATGACTTTTCAGTGTTTTCAGTTTTTTTTTTTAATCTTATTTAGCTAAACTCAACTTGATAATAATTATTGTTGAGAAAGTAAGGGGGGCTTGTTTAAAATAGTTAATAACTAATAAAAATAAGTTATTTACTTGCTGATGAAACAAACGAAATAACAATGGAAAAAGCATCAGAATGCTTGTTTTATCAGGATAAAAGCACTGTATATACATTAGAAGTGAAGGGAAACTCAAACATGTGAAAACGATCTGCATAGAATGGCTGACCTCCTGGCGCTGGTGAGATGGCTGAACACAATGGTTGAAGTCAAAGATGGACTAGTGCGCAATGTGTTACGAAAACAGTCGGTCTTGCATATCCATGGTGTTTGACAAACTGGCAGCTTTACGTGTAAAGCAAGTAAAATGAAAATTTCTATTATAAAAAATGCGTCGAAACATTTTCATTTTTTCTTTGTCTGTATTGTCTAATGTTTATATATTTTCAGATCCATTGTGTAAAAATATTTCATAATTGTAAAATTATTGTAATAAAGTAAAGAAATATCAAAATTGCTAAATTTTTTGGCAACCCTTGCTGCAGGTCCTGCAACTTCAATTAGGGTCGCGACCCACAGTTTGAGAAACTCTGATCTAGGGCATACTATGAGAGAGCTGCAGCTGTCGCAGAATATAATTAAATTAGCTAATATTTACAAGATTTGGAGCAAAATCTTCTCTGTAAGGACATCGTTAACCTCTTTAAATGCAATGTGGGTCAGCACCTCGAGATGTTGAAACTATATCTGCAAAATACGATATAAAAATTCCGTTTTTAGAGCTATGTCTGTTTTAATACCAAATATCGGTTTTCATGACCTTTATAGAAAGATTTACCATTTAGTAAACTGTGATCATCTTGCTGCTGCTACTTCTTAATAAAAAAATTTTTGGACCAAAGCTCTAATTATGAGCATATATTTTCAAATAATACATATATGACAAATTTCAGAACTGCAGCTCAATTTCTTCTGAGAAGATGCATATGTAAAACAGTATCACAAAATTTTATTTTAAAACACAATGGTAATGGTATTGGATTTCAATGCAATTGCTGCCGAAAATTAATCAGTTATAGACAAAAACAAAGAAATTTGGTACCAAATTCACAAGGATTGTTTATTTACAAAAACCAAAGAACATCTTATTGTTTCCTTTCCAAATTAAAAAAAAATTAAAAATTATTTGCTTTTAATTCACCTTTTGGGTGATCACCAACTTGCCATTACCAATTAGTTTTACCAACGACGCCCAACTGGCAACCATTGACATCTACTTTTCAGTCTCGATCTTTTGTTTCTTTTTTAGCATAACAGTAAGTTATGGAAAGCTTTATTACATTGATCTTGTAGAAACTGTAATAATAAAACATATCTACATGTATTTTCCAATCTTGTTAAACTTATATATTTTTAACAATATACTTTTGAGAAATTCAGAAAGAATCTCTCTGCTATTTTTAATTTTTTCTTAAAATTATTTTATCTTAAATTTATGTTGTAGGGCAAAATATCAGACTCCAATTCTGAAAGGAGAAAAATAAGACAACAATCATCAGAACTGAGGTATGCATTCTTAATTTTATTTAATTGATTCTATTCTAGCTTTTATTATCTTTAAATAAGTGTGGTCATTAACTAATAGATACAGACTATAAATTATGTTTATCTGAATGAATAATTGTTTTACTTATTCTAGTTTGCCTGACTTTTCTTATTTATTTATTTATAGGAGGAATAATATGTACTAATATTCAAATACATGTATTTTAATGCCAAGAATTCTTTAATAATCTTAAACCTTAAGCTGTAGAACTTTTTAGGTTTTTAAAATTCAGAATTAGAATTTAGGTTATTTGCTGTTACAGTATGCTTGTATTTACTATTCAGTTATGGAACTTTCAATTAAAAATAGTCAAACATGTTTTAGACATGTCTTAGATATCATAGTGTATTTTGGTGCTGTGAAAAATCGTTTTGTGATTATTGTGTTATTAACTAGACAATATGAGAAAGAATATTCAAACTAACTGATTAAAAATTATAGAAACCTGAATTTATGAAGTTTTAAATCCAAAAATAAGTAAGAAGCTAAAGAAAAAAAAAAATCTGCTTCTATGTTTGTTTTAAGATACTTCAAGAAACACATTTTTCGATATGGATATGAATGCTGCCTGTGTGTAATATTTATTATGCACTTAAAGAATGTTGTATATTGAAATTTAATCAATGATATCTTATTTATATGAATTAAAAAGATTTTAAAATTATAATAAGTGTAATTCAGTAAAAAATTTATATTAAAAAGGTATTAAAACTGAATCAAGGAAAATTACATAGTGATCCTGTATAATTTTTTCTTTATAGTAATCTGTTCTAGCAACTGATATGGCATAATTGCAGTTTGAAAAATGTAAAATAAAACAACTGACTATCATAAACATGAAATAGCTTCAGAAGCAGGTTATTTAATATACAGTACTAAGTCCAAAATCCGGATGTCTAATATCCAACCACCAGTTGTTTTTTTTTAGGCTGAAGGCCATTAGCCCAGAAGGGCTATTCATTTGGCATTTTGCATCAGTTCACTTTTTAAATTATTGCCACTGGTGTTCAAAACTTAAGCAACAGCAGGGTTTTTTTGCCATAACTCCACGAGAAATCAACTGAGAGACATGAATGCAGAAATGAAGGAGAGTATTATGTACGTAAGGGATGACGAAAGCATCGGAGCTGAAAAAGGAATACAATGCATACGGTATGGAATCAAACAAAAACAAGCTTTATTGAATGCATAGTATCGTGACTCATGATTGTCTATCCAAGAGGAAGAACAACGAGCAGATGTTCCTTAACTCTTTCGCATCGAAGTCGCCCCAAGCGCCCGAGCATTCAGATATCGGCTGGACGCCCGAAAACGCCTGAATAATTTCCTAACCAGTGCTTTCCCCCATCACGTTACTGCATTACTCATTGCTTTCAGGTGTTGTTAAATCACATGTCAATCATTCTTTTGAAGCTACTAAAATTAGCTTCCTTGTTTCCTTTGTTCCTTCCTTTCCTTTGTTTACTGTCAGTGTTTAGCTTTTGATGCCCGAAGTTGCAATCCCATCCCAAGAGGGAACTTCACGCAGTGTCAAAGCATCGAAGAAAGAAGTTCTCGCTTTACTTAAGTAAGGCTATTGTTAGTGCTGTAGTATTCAACTTGTCATGGGGGAAGGAAAAGCATTCCAGGAGAAATTCTTAAATACGGGCGTTTTCGATGTTTGGGGAATTGAGATTTTGCCCTATTTTCCCTCTCTCGATGCGAAAGAGTTAATATGGGATATGCCCTCCACTCACTGCAATGGTTGCTTTGCACCGTCTCAGCATACTCAGAACCAGCTGGTGCAACATTTCTTGCGGTAGGAGTGGGCTCATTCCTCAATCAGATCTGTTTGAGTTGTTGGGTGTTCTCCGGAGGTGTAAGCGTGCTGCAATGCATCTCCCCAAAGCATCCCACACATGTTTCGACAGGATTTAAATCTGGGGAGTTCGCTGCTCAATCCATTCGAGTGATATCTTCACTTTCCAGTAACTCCTCAACAGAGTCGATGCGGACGTGAATTCAAAGCATAAAAATTAAGTCTGGGCCAATGGCACCTCGGAACACACACACATGGGGAAGGAGTACCTCCTCACAATAGCGTTCCCCGGTTACAGACCCTCTGTCAAAAACGTGGAGCTCAGTTTGCCCATTCAGCATAATGCCTCCCCAGACAAGAACTCCAGGACCACTGTTACAGTGTGTTTCTTTGATGTTGCTGGGATAAACCGGGTCCCGACGTCTCCAAATCGAAACACGTTAAGAATCGCTTCTGGTACTGAACCGACTCTCATCCGTAAAGAGGGCATTGATCAGTTGTCCAGTTTTTGTGCTCTCTGCACCACTGTAAACAGTGGCGTTGGTGGCCAACTTTCAGCGGGAGGCAGCGTTCAGGACGGTGGGCGAATAGACCTCTTTTGTGAAGGTGTCTGGCCACAGTAAACCGTGACACTTGTCGCCCCATTGCTGTACACAGTTGTTGAACTACGGAGTTTGGTGACTTTTTTCTTGACATTTGCGCTTGCTGACTGCTATCGGCCTCTTTTCGCCTGCAGGACGATATATTGGTCAGCCCCTGAAGTTGTCGTCCTCGTGCGGCCACCACCAACCTTTCTAACAGCTGCACCTGTGGTTTGGAATGCTTTCCAAGCGCGTGAAACGACACTTTTGGTGATTCCAAATTCTGCAGCTACACTGGTGACAGTACGCCCCTCCTCCTGCTTTCCGATCATTCTTCCACGATGAATCGCCAGGTGATTTCTTCTAGCCATATTTCACGAAACTGACTCACTGGCACTGGAGCGAATATGTTGAATTGCATCTCCGTCCTTCCTTTTATTCTACTGTTGAGCTGCGAGCGCCGACATCACGTGTTTTGGGTACGTTCACGTCGCCTTTGATGTTTTGTTCCTGATATTTGCATATGCATGACGTTTCTACTGACTTATGTGTTCATTGTACTGATCTCCAGACCTCCTTTTCTGCAATTTCATGGCTATCTGCTAAATTTTTACATTGTTGCTTAAGTTTTGCACAACAGTTTATTTAAAGAAATTTAAAAATGAAGAATCTGCACGAATGTATGTATGTTTCTCGCATTGTGATAAAACAACAGTACCTAAAGACATAAAATTTTGAGTAATGTTCGCCTAGACCTGAATATGGGCATCTGGGAGCTTAAGTTTGTGGAATTGCTGTTGAACTAATTTTATGAAGAACATGATATTTAATAAATAATGGTAACACACAAAATGTTAAAAAAAAAATCCTTTCGGGCATAATACAAAATCTGAAAGATTTCAGAATTTTTTAAAGAAACATTTTCTTTTTACAAAGTCTAGAAAAGGGGAATATAATATTAAAAAAGAAAGATGTGCGGTAAAAATAATTTATTTCCTGACTGAGATTCTTTTACATCATGTTCAAACACTTGTTGGCTAAGAAGTTATGGTATGATCACATAGTGGTTACAATGCAGCAATTGGAATTGTATTGATGTTAACTACAACTACACTTTCAACCCTTGAGGTGGCTGTGGATGGGTTAGCATTTTTCTCTCTAATCTCACCATTGAGTGCGTTGTTGCACTTATTGGTTATTATTTTTGGGAGTGCATTGTTGCTTATACTGGTTTTGTTGGCATAGCTGTGGGAAAAAGTGAAAGTATTGGATTTTTTCTATTTATTATTATTAATTTTATCAAAATTAGAGTTTTAGTAAATAGTAACTTCTCCGTTTTAATCTTTTCTTAAAATTGTACATCCATCAAGTCAGCCAATGGGTATCGGAATTTTTCACACAATGAAATGAAAATACAAAATAGCTTTTTGAAAAGTAATGCAGCAGTAAAAATCATCGAATAATTCAGGAAATATTTTAATATAAAATATGGCCTTTTCAAGATCATAACAGCACATGTCTGTAAGATATTAAAAAAATTTTTGACATAATTTATAGTCATTTATTAAATTTAATGATGATGTTTGTTGAGAGCTGAGACTCTGAAGGTTTAAGGCTATAACAAATGTAAAATTTTCTGATTAATAGGATAGGATAAGAAATGCCAAACGAAAATGATATAATTGAAGTCTTACATTGTGATGATAATGCCTTAACCCTTTGATGTGCGGTGGTCGTGCCTTTAAACCACTAATTTTCGAATTTTTTTCTCTTCTTCCTTCCAAAAATTTTCAGTGAAAATCAATTGATTACTGATCTTTTACCTCTAAATAACACAATATGACTTCAGAATCATACATGTTTTAGGTCTTAGTACTTCAAATTGGATGCCTTTTAAAATTTATTTTCAATGAGACAAAATAACTTCCTTTTAATTATATAAATAATTTTAAATTTCAGAAGTTATTCATCGCACATCATGATTTCTATCATAAACAATAAAAAATAGCAATAATTAAACTGCTCATCACAATGGCGTTTGCTTGCTTCTCAAATAGGAATGATTATTTATATCCCTTATCTATATCAGAGTTATTTTATTACTAAACAATACATGCACCTGCCCAGTAAAGAGGTCTTTTCTTTTCCAGAGACTTTTCTCTGACCTCAACACTCTTGCTCCCCAAGCTAGTATTGTGATTTTATAAATTATTTCCTGTGGTTTAAATTTAATGTAAATATACTTTGCTATAATTAAAAATAGAAATCGCGTAAAGTTTTATTTAAATTAAAAACATTTTCTGAATATTTTGGGACTAAATATGAATAAAATAAGTATGAATGGAAAACGAATGATCCGTATCAAAGCAAAAAAGACCAAGCCCCCCCCCCATTAACATAAAAAACCCACAAATTTTATGTGCCAAATGACAAGAAATTAAATAACGCTGGAAATTTAGATCCAACCAGTGTATATTTTGTGGCGTAAGGAACAAACCTCATGGAAGAAGATTTCATTCTAGCGCTGTGGTAGGCGTCCCGCGCATGTGCACTAGTCTTTCTTGTTCACTGACTTTCAAGT